AAGAATAAAACCGTTTTTCGAATCATTCACGAAAAGGTATCAATGTTTCTGTTGTTCTTCTTTCAGTTCTTTCCGTTACCATCTATGATCTGAGTATCATTTTCATTTGAATTCGTCAATAACAAACATCGAAAGATATTACACTCCATGTAAACCATTACAGTTTATTCAATTCTGCTAACGCTTCATCCGTTATTGATCAGATTCCCACTGATCATTCACTTCTATTGAATGTGCGATGCAGATCGCAGGAGGATCGGAAATGTCGATGATCTGCATGATTGAATTGTTATAATTAATTACTGTTACCAGAAAATGCCTCATGAATCAGTTATCATTCTGTCATCGTTCACTGATTGGTCCATATTCAACTATTTCCTCGAAAAATAACATTTTGCAATGCTTATCACCAAAACACGAAAGCGTTTTGTTCGCAATGAGTCTTCAAAAAGCAATCATAACTAAGAATCATATTTGTTCTTCAACAGTGATCTGCGATCGAAATCTGAAACGGAATTCTGTTGTTGACTGAACGCAGTTTCATATTTAAAAATTCAATGACTGATTCGCTGTCGATATGAGCAATCGAGTATCGTTTAACGTGTTTTATTGAGCCACACAATTGCAAAATATCTTTCCGTCGATGGCACAACGGTGAAATTGCAACGGCAATTCATTAGTTGTAGACAAAGATAAGGATGAGTTTAAATAACACAATCTTTCAATCGGATGGTTCATTTTTGACAGGTTTAGATGAGAAAATATGAATGAAACGCTATCTTTGTTTGCACATGATGAAAACGTTTTGTGAAGTAAAGAGCAAATTAGCGTACAGTTTGGTGTGCAATCAATATGAATTGTTACATATACATTTACCATTTGAATGATCGATTTGGTCACATCTAAAAATCAGCAATCCGTTTTTTTTTAAATTCATTTATTCGAGCTTCGTTGAAAAACTAATGCATTGCTCAAATCTTCTTCGCAGTCGCTATTCCTTCCTTGTACGTTTTTAATTTTCCATTAAATTCATTTACATAAGATGCTGTTCATCAGATGCAAATGTGCAAATGTTGTTTCGTCAATCGCAGTGAGCACTCGACGATCGATATTTATTTTATTAGATTATGATTATTTACTGAATTGGTATTTGACTGCGTTTAATTATGCAAAGCATTCACGGCGACTAATTATTTACTCGGTTGTGTTCGGATGGCCTGCTCGCCTAGCCAGCGGGGTGGCGTAAATTGAGGCTAAAATAATGCGCACGGAAAACGAGCATTGTGGCCAGCAACTTATAAACGTTTGACAGCCTGGCCGATCCAGGTAATCCAGGCTATTCATCAGCTGCTCTTATTGGCTAGTTGAACTAATGAATGCAGCCGAATCACTTTCTTTTTCAGAGATGATGGCCTAATGAGCTTGACGATGTCAAATGATATTGGTCGTTTCTTACGTTATCTGGCACCTCGGAATCCCGAACGACGAAGCCTTTGAAGGCGTTCCATTTTGAGATATTTGAATGGATCAATTCCATTCACTTATTTCTCATTCGATCAGCAAAAAATAAACATTTTGATGATAGATTGACACTTTCATTATATCAGTTCACTGACGTTGATTCGTCCAAAGCATTGTTCGATTGGTTCTAAGCACTTATTGAATATGTGTACTTGAAAGCAATAAACTTCTTATGTTAACAAATAAAATCCTGTCGAATTCATCTGCTCGTTGAATTTTGGATGAATTCAAGCATTGTGTTATTGATAATCGAGCATTTCACATCATCTTGTTGTGCAACTGTTTTGAACGATCGAGTGAAGTTCATTCATTTTGTTACTCAAAGTTTACGGTTCATCGATTAAACATCTGAACACTTTGCCTCAGCTAATATTGACAGCAAGTTGAGATTCATCTGAGTGGGATATTTCTTCGTTTGCTTAATTCAGTTTTGTCGAGGGTGATTAAGGATGAACCGTTTCAAAATCGCTTGTCAATTGAGCAACCAAAAAGTGAACGATCACTTAAAATCATGCCTCCTTACCTAATCAGAAACCCTTCAGTGTCGAATACTTCGCATCGCAAAAGACTGAAAATAACTTTTCGCTCAGCATCAAGGGAACTTTCTCGTCCAGCATGAAACGAATGGAAATAAATTCGGAAAGTATGCTACGGAGGAAAACAAACTAGGAAAACTGATCTATCATTTGCATTGTTACCACATATTACAGTCATTTCAATACTTTGAGTGATGCCTTCGAAGCATTAGGCACTATTGTTTTACGCATAAGAGGTAGATTACCGACAGCTAATTTATCAGAATTCAATCTATATCGTTTTCAGAGCTAATTCACTTGAAGTCAACTCATACAATTAACAATGGTGACAATAGATAACACACTAAATCCAAACCTTATTGTGACAAAAAATGACCATCTGAAAGCTGCTCTAATTGTTTGCACGATGCTTATCTGTGGTTACAACATTTATACATTTTTGGAACGATGAAGAAAATCGGGATGATTTTCAATAAATGCTTCATTTCTTTCACCGACCTCAAAAATTTCTTTCAGCAGCAGAAAACATTATTACGATGAAACGATCGAATTCAGCAGCAATGTTCACAATGGACGTTCACTTCAGCATTCAGCTGCTAAAAAGATAAATTGAATAATTATGAAACCATTCGCAATTCTGGAACGGGACAAAGGGAATTTCTACAAGTGAGAGTGTTCACTTCCCATTATTTTCCACTCACTATTACATTTTGCTTTGACTTTTGAGTTAGTAAGGGCATATTCGAGGCACACATAGTATCTGAAAGTGTTTCGCAACAGAAAGTACAGCTCTATGCAGAATAACACAACACAGGGATTTGAACTTTCCGTAAATATTTTCGTCCTCTGACGAAATTCAGAATTCATTTCTTAGTTGTTCGGTACAATGCTCTAAGCAGGTGAATTTTGACGTGGATACTTTTTTGGTGGCCAGTTGATACTTTTTAGTTGCTGTGATAATTTTTTAGAGGGGCCAAAAAATCTTTTTGTCTCCAGAGCATGGGCATAATTGTTCCCGTGAAAGCAGTTGAACGATACCGCATCGTTTTTATCCCTAATTGGTTCGAAATGTTGCTCATTCATATAATTGGAATCTTGTTTTTTGGTGTCTCTTTGCATTAGTAAATCAGTTTTAGTTAGTACATTTTAGTGTATCGTTCTTCATCGTTCCATGAAATGCGTTAAAGTCTTTGAAACATCACTCTAATAATAAAGATTGAATACGATCGAATTGCTTGGGGTTTTGGATTACTGTTTACCGGTTCGAGTTTAGAATTCTTTTCTGATAAGAAAAGATTGATTGTAGAAAATATGCACGTTTCTGCTTTTCGCATTGGTTTACTGTCTGATCGCTTCAAGGTGTTACAGAAGTTATGAACACGATTGAACTACCTTCTCAAAATCAGACGGTAATATCAGGCTGTTAATTAAGTGCAGTTTTCGCTCACAAGCAAGTTGTAATTACGACTTCATCGTTACATTCTTATGACATTAATCTGTAGAAAGTGAAATAACAGTTTCGTTGGTATGCTAATTGAATTCAGCACTCTTCAATTAGTACTTCATTAAATCGTTGAATGTATCAATCAAGAAACGTTCCATTCCAGAAATCAATTTTGTTCTAATTATTGAACATGTGTCGATGAAACGAAATATCTGCGTTTGCGGTGAGTTGTTCATTTTATACACTTTCATACAAACAATAATTTGTGCGGAATTGATCAACTGTAATTACAATGGTGATATATGTCTTCACGTGGACGATTATTTTAAACATGGTCATTATCATCACTTGATTCCCTGAAACTGTGCACACAAACATGACGCGATCGCAATTCACTCGTTTCAATGCATAATCAATTAGACAGTCAGTGTTATTATATTGTGATCATGTCTTATGCAATGAATAATCGCAATTCTCTGATTGCTTTCACGTCAGTTACTAAATCACTCGAAAGATGCCACAATCGCATTTCGATTTATGCATAAACAATGACCTTATTATTAACAACAACTCGCTTTCCTGTTGAACACTTGCAGCAAATGTTCACTTAAGTGAGTAAGCATGCATGTACTGAAAACGAATTTCGATAAACTAATCGTAAAACCTTCACCTAGAACGTCAGCTTGCTGAATTAATTTTTTGTGTGTGGATAATGATGACGATCTTAAAATGACCGCTATGTTAGCCAAACTTGAACTACGGCACTAAATATAGGACGTGAGAAACTTCAATGATGACAGGTACATCTTAAAGCTGGTTTTCGGCCACAACCACTCGCTATAAAAGAGAAGAGTCCGAAAAGTTTATATCTCTGAACATCAACAAAGATTTTCCAAAAGGCATCCTCACAGAGATGAAGAAATCAGAACTGACATCAGTAATGCGAATGAGACCTTATCATTATCTAAGAGAACGTTAAAACATGATGGAAGCATTGAATAAGGCAGTTCTTATTTACTCTGCTCTATAAATTGGGAAGTCATAAGTTGCCTATTTCAGAAGTTAGTAAAATTGATCAGTTTTCATGAGAATTACCAATCACATAGACGGATGTGACGAAATGCTCACAATACTTCATGCATCAGCGATGATATTATAGACAATTATAAAGGTTCAAGTCAAAATTGGTCGTACACAAGCCCTAAACACAGTGTTCTCAAAATGATGAAGTACATGTTACGAACATAAAAAACTCTTGAACGACAGATTTTCAATGGAAAACACTTCTAATGATATGATTCGTACTGTGCCATAGCACTGCACAATAACAAAATACACCTCGTTGAATTGAGCATTCAGATGAACCTGCAGACGCGATCAGATATTAAAATAACTGACCTTTGTGAATGACTAAAACAACACTTCACTTATTGACAGTAATGTGTTCTTGAGAAAGCATCAACACAATGCACATAATACGAACAAAGATGAAAGCTCGATCATGCTTCAGGAAAACAAGGAAGAGGAATCTTCCCACGCCTGCACTTATTGATAATATTAAACTGGCATTCCTTGAGATGCTCACTCACAACTGACGACGATTCATATTGCCAATCGCTGATTTTTTGCTGACCTTTACTGAATTCCCACGCCTATAGGATAGATCAGGATCAGTGAGAGAATAAATCTATGTGGCAAACCTAGATGAGACAAAGATGAAACTATCATAATTCAATGAAAAACGGAATCTATATCGAATCATACTTAAGATTTAGAATGATATGCTCGTTATCAAGTGATTGAAATGGTCAAATGAACACGTTCTGAAATAATAACTCACGAAACATTTCTCCGACCAATGCCTCGTTTCTGACTGTTCCCATTTGACATAAACCATCGCTGATGAAGCGAAGTTTTCGAAGCACACCCTTCGTAAACGGCGATTTGTTGCAGATAAACATCGTAACGAACCACTATCCAGATATTTCAAGATTTCGTACAACACATCCGCAGGTAAGTCAGATAACGATAAACCTTTATATGGAATTTCTATTCGCGATTCTGTTGGACATTCTGTTGGAACGTGAACTATACACGACAGGTATTGATTGAACCTTGAAAAATACGACTATTCGAATAATTGAGAAAATAATTGTATCAATCGTTACCATAAAACAACAACTACCCATAACAAATCCCAACCAAAAAGGAGGTCACAATTTCAAGTTCGGAAAGAATTCAAAATCAAGAAGAAATGCGAGCACAGCAGTAGTCATCAGGTGCCAGTTATTTGCAAGAAGGCTTGACCTCCGATAAACAACATAGCAATTCCATTATCCAAAAGGCAAGATTATTGTGAAGTATGAAGAAATTTCGAATTGAACTTCTCTGATGAGATAAATAATCGGAACATGATGATAAATGGATGGAGTGAAATATCAATGACAACAACCAACCTCAGTGTGCCCCATTTTGGTTTTCGTTTATAGTAGGAGAACGGGCATCCGTCCGCATACAAAGGACATCGTCCAATATATTCATCCATATTCATATGACACAACTCATAATGATCACTATATTCATCTCGTCGAAACATTTCGTTACAACAAAACGTATATACAGTAATACCAGAACCAAAACACTGCATATTCTCACCTTTACGTGCGTATGCCGATAAGTGTTCGCTAACGATATCAATCTGCAGATTGACTAATCATTTTACATTCAGTAGTCTAACTATAAGTATCGATGAACAACATGAAAAAATATCAGAAGAATGGGTGAGTGATATGATTCAGTCTAATTGATGCACCAGAGTCAAAACTTTGCTGAGTTTTGTTTAGACGTCCGTTCTTGCTTTCCACTGCACAAGGAAGTTGTATCGAAATCCGAACGCTTGGTAAATACCGTTTTACGCGTTTGCGATACCAATCACAGTACACAGTCATTCATAACAGCATTTTGAGTGAGAGTTCTGTTAATACTCATGCCAGATCTAGATAGCTCTACAGAAATACAGAAAGTGTGAGTATGGATGATTTTCGAAGGTGATCATTCTAGGAATATTATCATGTATTTATTGTCAACAAATTAAACATCTCTATAATTCTTCCTCTTGAACAAAAACAAAAGGTACTGTTCGTTCAATGGACAATCTCACAAACAAAACAATTCTACCAGTGATCTAGTACATCCAAGCGAACAAAGTAAACAAAGATGAAAGCCGTTCCAATTCTCATATTTTCAAGCGGCATTTCACATCTTGATTCAGTCTGAAGCAATTATTTATGTCGAAAAAAACATGACATTTGATGCTTTTGACAGAACTTCCATGAAAGATATTCCTGACGAAGTTGAAGGAAAGATTTGCACGGATGAAATAAGAAATGAACCGAACTCACATAGAGATTCAGACGCTCGTAAAATGTAGGCATGACGGAGACTTTTATCGGTATTTTTATGTCAACTTCTTCTTCTTTCGGTTCCATGAAATTACCCAATGTATGAAGATGCTGACTGGTTGGATCGATTTTACACAGGTAACAGTTCTCGAACGGTGATTTACGTTTTTTCAGTAACTTTTTCTAAAATAAGCGGCGGCATCTGTTACTATCAAATATCACAAAAGCACACTAATATCATTTCCGAATTGGTAATAATATCAATCCAAATACCGATAATGGCGCTCATTCAATCGTTTTGAATAATACTAAACAAGCAGGAGAAAAAAAAGAAAAAATCGAACAATTTTGTCAGTGATTATCACTACACACTTTCAAAATAGTCTCTTCATCACTGCTGTCTTCATCGACGAATGATTTTTGAGGTTCAAACTGAATCCTCGGAGGCATCACTGGATGGAAAGGATTTATGAAATCCAATAATCGTTTACGCTCGCTTCGCTTTATCCGATAAGATTCTAACAGCATATCCTATAATCATACCACCTTCTTATTCTCGTCAACTTTTTAAATAAGCAATTATTTATGGATTGGAACGTTGAATTTGATACAAAATCGTTACTGCGTTTAAAACGTTGAAGTATACAGATGAAACTGATTTAAGGCGAGAATTCGATTGGGTCATTCTCTTGGAAGCAGTGAAGAAAAATAAAAATAGATGGATTTAAGAAATGAATTAGTAGCAGATTTAACACTCAGAAATCGCTAAAAAATGAACGAATATGCACAAACCTGATCTCTGATTGCTAAATGAATATCAATTTGCGAAGAATCAACGAATGGTCGGTCCGACGATAATTTATCGAGTTGTTTTGCAATGCGTTTCATTTTTCTTTTCGCCGAATTACTCAGAATACGTCGATTCCATTGGATAGCACATAATGTGACCGATGCGCAGCAATGTTTCAAATGTGACGATATCCTGTCACGACGCATCACCACCGGACATCCACCCAATACATTCGGACAATTCACTCGCACCTTTAAATCATTCATTATACTTCACTTCATAGGATATAACTGAACAAATGAATCCACAAAAGTATATCGTGAAGCTGACACAAAATCTGAAAAAAAAANAAAAAAAAACAACCCTTCGAAAATTACCAGATGATGTGATCAAGCTTATTTCAGGCATCATTTGAGAGTGATTGAACGAAGTATTTCAGATACTGTTCACGTAAAACACCGAAAGTCAGCAGATGGGTTAGGCATATTATCAGGGATATTTCGAAATTATTTGAAGTGAATAGGGTGGGTTGCATATGATATATGATGAGATGATCGTCTAACCTTGGGACATATGATGAGATGATCGTCTAATTTACAAGGGTGTAATCGAATATCACATTCAGAACACGTAATCAATTTACATTTATCATAACCGCAGCCAAGCTTATAACAGTATAAGCAATGCAAATGATCATCGATATTCAATGAACATTCTGCACTGTCCATGCCTACAATTCAAAAATTGCAACACAAATTTTCAGTTGATAACACAAATTCTCGCTATTTCTGAGCATCTCTTCATAGAACGCACCACCCAACTTTGAAAAACATTCGAACGAATAAATTGATTGCTTAACATACAATAATAATCATTTCACAATAGAATATTCTGATGATGATTGTAATTTTATTGGTGTTCCATAATGGAAACGACTAAAACATTGAAATGTTTGATGATCATTTCATCCAATTCATTTCTCGCAACAAACAGTGATGACAACTTCTGTTGCTATTATTCTCACTACGCAGCGATCACCACTAAACTGTTGTATGCACATCGCTTTGCTGCTAACGTTTTCGAAGACCAGGCCACTCTCTTATTAATAAACCTATCGACCAAATCAAGTAAGCTGAACACCGCTACAGCTCACTGACTGCTTTGTCTAGCACATAAAAGAGCAGACAGTTTCATAGTTCGTAAGGAAGTGCTTGATGTGTACTTCTCATGATTCAAATGGATCATACCAACTTATGAAAATGATACCATAGTTGAGCAAGTGATTTATTGAGAGCATATTACGATTTCAGTTGAAGCATTCAACTCCAGTGCTAATTTTCTAGGTGCTACAAATTTCAGACGCCTTGCTTCATTCGGTCTCAAAATTGCATTTCAACTAAACAGTGGCAGAATAGTTCAATTAGTCTATCACCCTTAGATTGACTGTTCAACCAACGAAAGTACTAATTACTTTGACTCATCTTATAATCACAAAAACAACATCACATAAATCACTACATTAGATTTTTGTAAAGTCAGCATATGATTACAAGCTTTGATTACGGATAGAATATGAGAGAATGGTCAAAATAATGATGATATCCACTCATCAGTTCACATTGCTCGTCCATAATTCCAAATTTGCGATAATTAGTTAGAAACAGCACTTTAATCGGCAATGAAAAGGCGAATTTGAATTTTTGCAGTTTTGCACAATCGACAATATTTGCACAGTTTCTTGGGACGTCTTTGATAATAATGTTGTTCATTTCACGAAACGCGTTTAGATCCCTCTGGCAAAAAGTGTGTTTCAGAAAATCCAAAACAAAAAATCCGTTCCGACTAACTCATTTCTCTCCACAAGGTTCTGGGATTATTCACTAAATTTATCGCTCTCTAATTTCATTCTTCACCACCCGAGCACTTCAAATTTCCCTAATTTTTGTGCATCATGTACATCACCAAACTCCCCAACATCCCAGTATGGTTTATGATGTGTTTGATGAACGATATTTGTTCATCCGTTTCGAATAGCTATTGTCTGACCAGGATAAACTGTTCCAATTTAGTGATGAACACAACAATTTACAACCGCTGATTAAAATTCATCGTTCAAAAACTCAATTATCAGCGCTAATCACTTAATGAACAAGTTTCATCATCAATGAAATGAAATTTTAACGTCTCATTAAATGAATTTTTTCATTTTCGTGAGAAAATTTCGTTAACAATAAATTTTGAAAGTATACAGCGACTTCGCGAACATTCCATATAAATAAGGATGAAGAAACAGAGTGTAGCAGATATTGCTATCACACGTCATTTGCTTTGGCAAGGCTGTATTCGTCGTTCAAGTCAAACTGAATCAGATCACAAATAAACCATAACAAAAGCGAGCAACAACATGAAAGGCAACACTGATAAGAGCTAAAATCATTGAATAGATGATTGCTTTTCGATCGGTTACATCACTCATTACATAGCATTACTACTTATCGATCCGCATACACTGAACACTTCAATTTTTTGTGTACGTGATTCGTATTTGCTGACTAACTTTTTATCTGAACATTTCTATGAACTCACTATCAGTTTTTCGTATCATTCTCATTTGTAACTAACAACTTAGTGAAGTGAGGTTTTTTCGCTTAATAAAAAGCATATACTGAATATTTCTATGCTTTCATTCATAAAAAACACTTTTCAATTGTGCATCTTAATTTGCATCTTTCATGTCCACATTAAAGATCGAGATTTCGGTCAATTTCTGCACCCGAATAACGGCAGTTGCAAATAACTCAATCAATAGCGGTTCTATGCAATTTTCGTTTCGTTGAGTTGTGCTGAAACAACGTCGCATTATAAATAATACTCTATAAACTGTAAGTGAAGAACATAATCGCGATAACAACTGCATTGATTTAATCATTGATCATTCCGAGCTGTTTCGATACAACACTTGAACATCTCGAATGAGATTCGAGAAGGTTTTCATTTGCAGATTGTTTATTAGCATTAGTTCGAATGCAAACCATTCAATATGCGTTCCGCTCAACTTAAATGCATTCAAAATTTTGCATTGATGTTTGCCTTGTATTATAAACTTTAAATTTTGTACGGAGATTGAATTCTTGAGATGGTTCCATTGTTTTTTGATAAGATTTTTGAGTGGTTGAATGGAAATGACATTAACCGACGGTGAGTTTTGTGGGACGAAGTGCAGATTCAAAGAAGGAATTATGCTCACTCCGCTTTCGCAGCTGATTCGAGTTCATCATCAACATTCTCGTCCTCAGATATAATAGCTGTCAGTCTTCACAGAAACCAGCTGATCATCAGAGATAAGCTGCCTAAATCGAAAAATTTGTTTGTGATTTCGCATTTAATTAACTTTCTAGATATCCGCACCTCGCTATTCCTAATCAGACATTCCCGGATTGAGACTTTTATAAGGACATGAGATTCGAGATTAATTCAATGCTCACTCTAAAGTCGTAAAAGTGCAGGCATAACAAAAGGACTTTGGTACCGCTAACTGATACAAAAAAGTAGTCAATGCACATTTTGGCCACACCTTCGATCACAACGCATGATTGCATGCAAACTCTGACCGGTTACAAAGTATCATTTCCCAAAAATTTTTCAAAAGAAAAAAAAATCGATTTTCAGATGATTACAAACGGAATATCAGCAATATTACGACGCTATCGCAATCAAAAGAGGATGATTACGAGACGAAACTTAATAATGAAACTGCTATTGAACGATTCGTTGTTTCACTTGGCTTCTCTCGATTTTGCATCATTTTCGTGGCTCTATTTTGCACTGCTATTGCATTCGCACAGGTCTGTAGAAAACTTGAAACAACAATTTGAAACATATGAAAGCTGAATTGGGAGAACAGATTGCAGTTCTGATTTTGCATAAAACTGATTCTCATCAACTGAAGTTGACTTTCATCATGATTAAATGCAATTCACTCCAAATATTGCAACATCTACAATAAGCACTTCGGCAAACTGCTATTGCATCCCATTCCCGTTTTGTTTTTCCTCCCCACAAAGCCTTAGTGAAAGTTTGCGATGCATTTTTGTCATTTCTTATTTCTATCGTTTTCCTAGCTTTAATTCAATAAGTAATTTCGATGTAGTAAGATGGATATTTTGAATAGGGGGTGATTTGTATGACGAAAATGAAAAAGATTGACGGTGAGTGCGCTAATGAGACAACAGCAAACGATACGGTGTGGTGGTTTGATCAGGTTTGTAGATGCCATCATCACTCCATCTCCATCAAATCCCCATTTCACTTTCTCGTATACGTTCAAAACCTTAGATTTTATTGCCTATCAGTAGCTTCAAATAGACGCTACGGTGGACGTTTTATTTTATAGCCAAGAACTCTCCAAAATAATCGAAATCTTTCAGGTTGAAGGTCTTAATACCGGTGACTCAGTAAGTCGTTCTGTTAAGATAACAATGCGTTTGTCATGTCATGTTGTAAAAAAATACATGACAATACGATCACATTCCTTAATAAAACCAATATCCAACAATAAGATTTTTCGAATCAAACCTCGGAAAGGTGTAGCGCATCTGCGCGCTACTTATATTGCCTAAGCTATCCTCGGCCAACTCCAGTCCCGCTTCTTTTTTTCACGGAAACCGGAACTATCAAAGCATTTTCTTTCCCATCTATAAGTGACGTCGTTCAGTTCAAGCAAATTTATCGTTGATCATTAGACTGAAAAATATAGATGCTGAATTCAACAAAATGAAAGTAACTTCAAATCAGGAACCTGAACCAACGCAAGAAGAATCATCTTGTTCACAAACAGTAAAAACTCATGCACGTTAGTTACAACATTTTACAACGCTTCAAACAATCACAACTTCCAATTTTACACATCTAAATTACGTTTTCCATCTCTAAATTTTACGTCAAAGTATGCCATTACACCGAACAACAACTATTCAAATGGGAACATTATAAAAAGTCTGCCCTCTCTTCCATCGAACTTCCTAACTATTTGTGTAATCATCATTTTGAGGTAACAATTCCATGAGAGCTATTTATGAAGAAGGAAAATATTATCTGCGATCAAATTACGGGAAATGCAATTCAATGAAAATTCATCACCTCAGTTGATACGTTTCAGACTCTGCATATCGCCATCCAGAGAAATTACTTCCATCACGTGATCAATTACGAATGAAACAAAAATGCAAAAACGATTCATAATTTTCAATTGTGCTGATGCATTCAACGCCTTTAAACGATGTGTTATAACGATAAATGATAGATATGATATCACATGCGAAAATAAAGAATTGAGTTTATTGAGCAACAATGAAATACTATTTTAAGAATATCGGGAAAGAAATTCGACCCGAGAAGGGTTCAATCAGACTAAAATATCACATTTGCGCTCAAGCTTTTGCTGACGCTCATAGCTAGGAAACATTGACTTCTCTAATAGTGGCGTCGATTTCAGTCCACAGAACAATCCATTTATTTAATAGATACCTCAGCCCCAAATAAGCGCTTACCTATGACTAAGCTCAATATCGCGATATTTCACTGAAACTATCACCATTTGTCTATACGAGACATGAATGCGTATTTGCTATATTTTTCACTGAAACTCATGCGTGGCGGTCTTGCTTTGAGGTAGGAATAGAAGAGGTATATACATTTATTGAAAAAAACAGATCATCTTCATAGAAGAATGTAGTATTTACAACCGGTATTTTCATCATTCAATGAACAGTCAATTAAGTGAGTAGTACGGAAATTTTGAAATAATTCTGCACGCTTACGAAACTGAACGTAAGAACATGATTTTTTTAAAGATAATGAGCTTTGAGTTCACTGTAACATGACAATTTAGAAATCAACAGTTGAGATATAACATAACAAACGAAAGACCTTGAGAACAACACATGAGATGATTTTGAATAAGCATCTGACAAAAATGACTGATTTGGATAGAAACAAATAAAGCCAGTACGATCAACTGAGAATGAGATAAACAGGTTTATTTCTCTTGTATTAATATGCAACACTTCAAGTTGAGCGATAATACATGCAATGCGATCAAATAATATTAACTGTACTTTGAAGGAAATGATTTTGCAACATTTTAAGGGATATGTACAATATGAATACTTGAAAGAGCATTAGGAATTCAATAGATTTTACTTTATCTTTTGAAGCAACTGAAACACTTTCAGTCGACATTCGTTACCCGTATCACTCAGTGGTACACAATGAAATCTAAACCACCAACTTTTACGTGATCGCCAATAGAATCTTAACATCCTACGATCACTCATAGCCTCCACACATGCCCAAAGAAAAGCCCATGCACGATCGTTTGATCTGAACATTAAAAAATACCTTCCAAATAAATGAACGTCCACTTCACCAATAGCTCACAAATGTGCTAAATGCAAAAGACAAACTTTAGGACCAGAATTTTATGCTACCGATGAAACAAACTGTGCTTATCGAAAGTTTATCGAGAAGATAATCAGGGATAAACGAAGGCAATGTTAACGATACCTATTTTCACCATAGTCCAGGAAATGGAATAAGATTTTGCAGATATGAGAAATCGTCTCAAATGACCTATCGAAGCTTTGCGGATTCAGAAGACGAGGCTGGATCCACTCTAGTAGAATCGGATCAGATCCACTCAACTTTAAAGTGGGTATCACAACCTGCAATTATAAACGTAATGAAAATTGCATGCATTAAGTACAGCGTATGAAAGGAAAAGTAAATGCAGTGTGTGAACGCAATAAAAAAAGTTTGCATAAATGGAAAAAAGATATTTTCCTGCTAATGCCTGCCAAGTATTCCAGCATAGATATTCAACAAAAAAGTGATCCAAATGAGTGCCATAGTCATTCATCAGGTGCACTCCTCTACCACCAAGAAGAATATAAAATAACACTGAACGGATTCTTCACAAATGCGGTTCACTTTCATACGTTAGATTCACAGAGACCAATTCATCATTTAAAAATGCCAAAGCTGATAAATAAACAATAATGAACAAACAATTCTTAAGTATTAAATCTGGTGTAAACTTGTGTTGGAAGCAGTAAAGCAAATAACCTCAGTTAAGAGATCTTCAGCTTCGTCTTGCAATCCATTATTGATCAACGCATCATGAGCATATGATAACATGAACGGTGCTCTTCTACAACAATCGATCAATTTTTCTAATATTGTCGTGGTGACGTCTAATGATTTCAACAGGTCAACCATTGCATAGATAAGTACACTCGATGTACCTACTGGTAACTCCTGAATTAATAAAATTATTATCAGTATTGAAATATTCGCATCATTATTGTGTTCACAAACGATTGAAACAATCAATTAATATGATAATCGCCTCGAATTCTGAACATAGGTTTAATTCACTTCGATGCAAGCGATCGGTTAATTCAGAGCCAAAAAAATCTTCACTGGATTGTCATCAAACAATGACCCTGTTTTGATGGTCATTCAGTCGAATATTCTTACAATTATCTGTTCTGACTTCGAGCACGTTGAATGCAAAATCATCAATACGATAAAATTTTAAGACCTGCATTTCTGAAAAATAAAGAGGAAGAAACTAGCTAACATCGATTGCACTGATAAGGTCATCAACCAAAGGATAAACATCATTCGGATTTCTAGGACGGCCATTCCATCGCCAAATTTCATATCGGTACAATGCTTTATAACTTTTCATTACATCCATATACTAAAAAAATAGATTTTTTAAAATATTTAAAAACCCGACTAATCTTCAAACATCGTAATTTTGTAGGTTCTCCACATTAACTTGGAATTTGCTACTAGCAAGCCGAGCATATAGTGTAATATGCTTAATCCAGTAATTCGAAGTGCAATCTTATTTTCACGACGTAACGGTTGTCGATAAAATTGAGTTAAATCACGGAACAAAAATAAACAAAAATCGAAACATACAGATTTCATCTGCGCGGCAGCTACTATAGAGGATGTTGAAGAGACGAGAATAGACGCGTCTTCGTGCAGGCCGTTAGCGATCAAAAACGCTAACACTTCGCATAAGTACAATAATGAAAAATTCCTTGCACGAACCGCAGTCTAAAAAATGAAGAAGATTATGTGCTCTGAGGATATCACCGAAGATGTTGACAGTGGATATCGACCGAACATTTCTGTCAGCATTACCAATAATAAAACCAATCTTTCTCCTTCTCACATTCCGCAAACCAATCAATTAATCTTTTAGGAAGCTGGAATTCATTGTTTCTTGAACGACTCATTCTTTTGATTTTTACTTCCATGTAATAATCTCACATCCTCATATCAAAAAACGTTTTCTTATTCAAAGAGGGCATCTTTTTCATATATCACTTCTGTGTTTCAATCATACTTTTCTCATGAGTTATTACAACCATTAATTGTTTTTGTTGCATGCTTAATTCGTACTTACTGCATGGGTATCCGTACATACCACATCACCACCGCTCTCGATAACTGACCTCATTACACTTTTGTGCGTTCACAACAGCCAACATAAACTCGTTGATCGATTTCGCTAAAAGGTCCCGAGGAATATTATGCTGCATAAGACGTTGCGCACCAGCATGGAATATTGAAACTATGAACGGCGCTATTCTCGCATAAACATTGTAATATCTGCTCCAACGTTCTCGACGTGTAAACTGAACGGGATCAAGACGAATTATATCGATAGATCCTTCAAGGGGAATTGCTATTACAACGCATATATTTTGAGAATTTGAGGACGAATATTAATATGAACATCGAAATTACTATTTAGTACATTAACACTTCAAAAATAACTGACATCCCCTATTGCTAATCAACAACTTTGAATATGGTTATTGTTAAATAAGTAGATTGAAGGTGTTATTTACATGATGTAAATAAACACTTTCGTTTCAGGCGAATAACACGGAACCATGAAGAGTGCTCAAAAGAATTGCTCGGCGAAGATAGGCCGATAAAAGTTAACATATGCAGCAATACGTACACGAGTGATTTGTGGTGGACGTATTCAACGATGAATCAGATGTAAAAATGAAAAACGAACCGATCAAAGAACCCACTCTCGGCCAATCATTACAAAGAACCGCCTCTCTCAATTCAAACATTCGCTGTCGAAACTGTAATTGACGAATTCGCAACGCGCCCCGATTTTCTTCAAATGACCTGAAACCTTTTACATCTCATCACCACACTTCCACAACTCAGCACTACAGTTTCTTATTAAACGAGACAGCTTATTATCACAACAGTTTTAAGCATTTGCGCTTCAAATATGACTCAGTCTGAAGTCAAAACCGGATTTCAAAAACTATCAATCGAACAGTCACTCCACTTACTCATCGAGAGCTGAATATGGCGTTAGAAAATTTCGAGCCCATTTCTTGAAACCAAATGAAGCTTCTTGTTCGCTCAGCTCATTCAATCTGAAAATTGAAACTATGAAAAGATTCTTAATTTCATGGAATACAAAATACAATTCAATCATTGGATGGTTTCAGAAAGAAGCTGAAAGAAAACGAATGTTTGAAGATGAGATGAGATACATTCAGACAACATTCTCTGCAAAAATACTCAAAACTTTAATCACATAACAGATGAATAAAACAAGAAGGAACGCTGTAGAAACAGTACACAGATAATGAGATAAACAACTAACGTAATACTTATATTTTTGAGAGGGCGAGTAACCAGGCCACGAATTTTGAGTAATTCCCGCACGTATCGTTCAACTTTCGAATCGAAGTGCTCATAAAGAGTATGACCAAATCCATAACAAATTGCAATCGTAAATAAATCCGCACATGCCTGCAAAAAACATTTTAATTGATACATCACGCGTCGTTGCAATACAGCAAAAACAATCCTTCACGTTCTCTGTCACAACTCATCCTTCAAAATAAATTATTCGCAAACCTGTGCTGTGAAGATTCATCTTTCACTCATCGCTTCTCAGTCACTGAATGAACAAAAATAATTTCATCAACTAGCAGTTCCAACAGTACGAATAAGCTGCACTCTCGGTTATGCATCATTACCGTATCTGAGAGGCGTGGACGCCTCTCAAGATCCATCTCTGATTCACATGGTAGTTCACAACACTGATTACAAACATGTTGTCTGCATATTCATAACGCACTACTGTTCACTTGAGAATTAATCTGATGGATTACCGAAGGTGCCAAGCTTGAATCGGCGCTTCTTTCCACTGCTCGTTGACAGTACTCATCGAAAATCCGCAGCAATCGTTCATCAACTAAACAATGAGAAATTAACCCAATGAATAAATTAAGGTAAATTAGAACTATGGACCGTAAATTAAGGTAAATAAATTAGAACTAGATCTATGGACCGTACATACCTGAATCTGCAGATTCGATGTGTGTTGAGAGGGCAATGGTGTTCGAACCACTTGAGCCACTTTCAGCATCCTCATCATCCATCACTGAGTTTCTCGAACAGATAGCTGAAATATTGGTCAGGTTAGTGGGTCGATGAACAAACGTAATTGCAATTAACCATAACGATAACTCATCTGACAGATTTTCTTACCACAAAAACTTTTACATCACCTCCAATGAAACGGATCATAAACAATACTACGAAAGAAAATGCCAAAAAACGAAATGTAATCCTTAAGCAACAGTTTCTTCATTGTTGGTCGTAAGTTTAGCAGAGCGAGTTTGGCAGATGCAGTCAATGTGGTAGGTCGCCACAAGCTTCAATCTCGTCAAAAATTTTACGATTTTACGGTTAATCACCATTCCTTACTTTTAGTCATTAACGTCTGAGGAGGAAAGCCACTAGTCAATATTGGTGAGAGTAGAAAGTGGCTGTATCCTTTCAATAAAAACTTCATCTTCACTAAATTGGCAACAATTGCTTCCCCTAATTCTTTGATCCATATTTTGCAACACGACGCAACCATCGGCTTTATTTTACCGAATTTATTGGCGGTTTTTGCATTTGTTTCATTTGCGATTATTTAATTAATTTATGAGTGAATTTATTTGATGAGTAGTTAAAACTCATTACGAATTTATGCCTCTGTTTTATCACCAATATCGCATTGTTCCTTTGTTGACATCCTTCTTTTCGCGCTGTTAACGATAAAAGCACTGGAAATCATCTGTCTTCATGAATTGGTTTGACGAGCACAGAGGTGTTGGACCACTCTTCCATATTGGCAAATGATTTGTAGGGATAGTGACTCAAAATGAGCCCGAAAATACGCTTCGATTGATCGATTGAACATGCGTCCAATGATCGCTCGGAGTAAAATTTGAAATAGCCAACGGTAGTTAACCAGTAATCTTTCGGGTTCAATAATAACGGACAATTTCAATAAATATAGTCGAATAGATCCGCAGCGATCGATGTACTAAACATGCCACAAGCAAGCTGTAATGATTGCCCGTTACCGTCGATATTTTGCATAATTAATCATAGGCGAATACATTTGTTGAAGGTAGACAACGTGCAATGAGATAACTTCTTTTCACAGATGCCATACACTTTATTTTAGGTGTGTAAGTGTGAAAAGCGAGTGATTGTTACGGAGGCGAGTCGTCATTTATTGTTTGCTAGGTGTAGTGATGCATTCACATGAACTCTCATCATAATGCATCCGATATGTTTCGATACAGTGATCGTTCTGTTCGGATTCATATCTTATCTTACCTTATTCAATCGACTTTATACAAATGCAGCAATTCAAGGAGCACACACATCACATGACCCTAATATAGAAAAGGTCAGTTCATGTTCTTATCAATTGCATTTTCAGCGTTCAATCCCATACCTCATTGTCAGTATTGTTTGCTTATTGGTTGAGGAGAAATTTCCGTATTTTTAGAATAGTGCGTTTAATTGAGATAAATAGAACTAACGTAGAATAATTTATGAGCGACTGTTTTAAAAATGTAGTTGCTTATTCGAATGAATTGAAGCATTTTTGAATTAGACTTGTATCATTCATCGAGGATTGTAGTGAATGGATTATATTGGATTATTGCGGTATTGCAGGTTCCCATCCGATGTTTCTTCTCTGTTGTTTGAATTCAGCTTATTGACGTCTGAACTAATGTAGTAAAAAGTTTTTAGTTATTGAAACAATTCATTCACAAGCACGCGAACTGTTCTCGCACCGAGTGGGCATGCAGGCGCACCTGCCGTCTGCAGTTCGTTGACAAAAGTTCGGGTCTTTGCAAACAACCTCATCCCGACGATCAATGTTTTGGAGTACCAATCCGATATAACTATACCATAGATGCGCCAGATGTCATCGATTCACTTCATCGATATCAAATTTTGAGTCGTTTCCCAAGGTTAACGTGCCACTAGACATTTTTGTCAATTCTCAAACATATTTGCGAACATTTTCCACGATCATTCATTTGTAATGATTGATGCGTTTAAATAAATGTTCATTTTTAGGTGTTGGTCTGCACTCGGCCCTTTGCTATGTGCAGTTGCATATAGACCGTGCTCTAACCGCAGATATTTCGAACTCACGATGACAGAGGTATTGCGTTTTGATTGTTCCGAATCATTTCTTCAGTCTACTTTACTTTGAAGCGTATATTGAAAGTTGCAAGTCTGTTCGTATTCGAAACCTTAACTGACTTGAAAATCATATTTTTGACTGTCTCTGTGTTTTCTTAATTGTTTTTTGGGCAAAGATAAACTTTGTTTATAATTAACACAGCCATAAATATTCGAATATACATTGAAGTGTAAGCTTTGCAAAAGAATGTAGCTTGACTTATATTAGGTTTGTAGTATGATAATTTGAAGGATATTCTAAGCAAAGCCATGAATATTAGAATATACTTTGAATTGTAAGCTTTAAAAAATAATATAGCATGATTAATGTTAGGTTGGAAGTATGATAAGGTGAAGGATATCTACCTCGATAAATGATGTAAGTACATCACAGCGATAAATAAAGAGTAGTTATAGCCAGGCACTATGGAAATGTGGCAAGTATTTCGTAAAGATATGTGCTATCGAGCTCTTCACAATTGTGGTTTTGTTAGCAAAAGTGGTTTATGGCCGTCATTCATAAATTGTTCTCATACACCCGTCAATAAAATGGGAAGACAGTTGTTTTCAAATGGATCGTGTGAGGTTCGTAATTCTTAATCGTTCCGTATGAAAAGATTCACGACGAAATTCGTAATGAAAAGCGTTTTTGCCTCTTCGCTATGAGGTTTCCATCTATTGCTCGTTTGTTCACAGGATAGTTTCCCAAGAATGATATCACTTTGCTCACATTTATTTGCATCACCTAAATGCCTGCTTGAATTAATGAAATAGATCAGATATCAGGATGAAGTTACCATTCGGCATTCAACTGCTTTAGGTGACAAAATCAATAGATTTTTGGTGACCCAGTGAAGAGTGTTTTTGAATGCTAATATTTTTGCAATTGAATGGATGCATTTTGAGATGCCATATAATAAAGAACCAGCTACAATGGATCGAAGTCAATGTCTGTGGCCGTTAATTGAAAGTGATGAGGTATATCGGAGCGCGTCACCGATAATCGACGACTGCTATATGTCTTGCAGGTGCTTTTGAATTTATTCACTCGTTCAGTCTATTTGCCGCATATTATATCTGTGCTCACACCACGTAAATATCATGCACAATGATAGTTTGGCTATTTTTTCTTCATTTTGTAATTATTGCAGGACACCATTGTTGAGAACCGAAGGAATTCGTCGTAATCTCCTAACATTTATATTTACAATTTCACTCTTCATCACTTTGCTCACATTTATTTGCTTTGTAAGATTTTTATCTCTTGTTTAATAAATGATACATTTGTAGTCGTATTGGAATTTGAAAATAATTCTGTTCAGTCGCTAACTATTTTTAACTAAATTTGTGTATTTCATTTCGAATACGTAAACCCGTAAAACTTATCGTTTTGATATTTTCGCTGTTTATTTAACTTATTGATTCATCACGATAACTTACTGGTACGATGTGGAATCAATGGAATGATGTATTTATCTTACAGATTTATATTTCGATATTCTCATCGATGTGGTTGAATAATTTATGTGTATATACAATCGGACATGCTTTATTAAGTGCCGCCATCTACTGGTCTGTTTGGTTGACAGGTTTCTTCGATGCAGTTGCCGATTCTGTGATGTGCATCGGTAATGGACGTATCAGAAGGCATACTTATGGCATATCCAAGTATGTTCTTCCTCAGACGTTCTTCACTTGAATATCATTTACTTGAATTCTACTACAGTAGATCTTTATTAAATCGTACGTGCAGAATTTTTTACTGCGTTCAACTTACGTTGAAAGGAAAATATTGTTTATTTTTAATACATCGTCGAGTGAAATTATAATTCAGTCACTGTAAGCATTTGACGAATGAACCTTCGTGACTATTTATCGTTAGTTTTCCGCTGGCATTATTAATGGTTCGATATTTTTTAAGAAGGGAGTGTTATGTCTGATAGAGTAATGGTTTTCGTGCAGGTTAGTTTACAGAGGACTAAAGTTCGATTCCTGCTGGGATCTGTTTATTGTTGTTAGTGATGAGACATTCATCCTTGCTCTGCGAGTGGCTAAAGGATCGTTATAACGAGTGATTTAGCTTAACGATGAACAATGTCGGCCTCTGAAACAACGATAAGCAATACCTAGGAAACCTAAATTTTTGAACAGCGTGAATGAAGTCAAATAATCGGAATTCGAGAAGTTCTCAAAATTGCTACAACTGGAGTGAGTGAATGATTATGTTCTGCTGATGGTAGTGCATTTGATTGATGAACTCAAAATTGCTAAAACTTTTAATGGTTCAGTGAAGTGATCCCAGTAGTGATTCAAAGTCAGTGTTAAGTGAGATGTGAAGTGGATTATCCATCAAGCTTTCACATTTTGGAATAGACAATCAGATAAGTGGATCATGATGTGATTTATTCGGTTTTAGCGGTGCATTACAATGGTGTAATATAGAGTCATGGTTTCTGCACACTTTTCTGTTATCTGCATTTCTGTGGTTATCGTCGTTTGTGATCCTGCGTCTGGGGCACGTGCCGATTCGTAAAGATCATCGTATCTATTTGGATGGACGACCAGAAATTAGTATAAGATGTGTTTTATTGGTGGTTTATTTGATAGCTGCTATTATTGCAACAGTGGCGTTGTGGATGAACACAGTAAGGCTTTTGATTTTTTTAAACGTTCCTCATTTTTTTGGACGGAAGAAATAAATTGTTGAGCAGATGATTTGATGTGTATCGATTCGTTGAAGATTGCGAACCGCATGCTGAACTAGTCAATAGTTACGCTGAGTTCGTTTTTTAATAGCAAAAGTTATTTGTTCGTTCACAGACTGCACGCTTTTGTTTGATTTGCGTTGTCCTTCTCGTGTACTTGAAACAAATTTTTGCTTACTGAATAATGGAATGTAACTGAGAATGGAACTCACACTGAATGAGAACATCAGTTTAGAGGCGTGATAAAATGGTGTGAGTATTGAATGTGATGATGCATTTTCAGGCCGAATCGGATGGTTTGGTTGGTGTTTGTTTTATTGGATTGCGTTCCGTGTCGAATGCCACAGTGTTTATCTATGTACCGATCCTGCTATTCTTAATTAGTGCATTGATTTTGAGCGCATTCTTCTTTTTCAGACGAAGATGTGAGTATTTTTGTTGTTTTAGTTTACAGTAAAATTGCAGAAAGCATTTTTTGAAGAGTTTGTGTGATGAAAGAGGAGAATATAAGGTAAACATTTCGCAAAGTTAGTGTTTTGTTTGCTTCTTAAAATATTCTGTTGTGTGACTGAAACGTCAAAATAGCCAAGCCTAATGAAATCATCGCTAACCGATTGGCAGCGAACAATAATCTGCTGACTACAGATCTGGCATTGCTAGAGTTGGAGGATGATGAAAGGAATGCTCAGCAAGAATTTGATAAGAACGTTGAAGAAAGTGATGAAGCATCGAACGTTTCAATCTCGAAAAGTGTTCGATTGGAATCTAATGCGATGACCGAGTCGCATGCATTCATAGATGATTCGAACGATGGTTTGTTTTTGTATGTCTTTCACTCTCATTCGTCAACGTTACACGTACATTATTCATACAAAACTCTAAAAAGCATCAGTAAAAATTATTGCACAAGTGAATAACGAAGAGCCGATTCAACATTATGTTCTAATTCGTTCAATATCATTGAACGCCTGATATCAGTTTATTATTTGTTGTTCGTTAAACTTTTGATTTGTATTGTTTTATTGCGTTATCATTCGCTAAACTGAAGTCTAGCTGAGTATTTTTATCAATTTAATCGGGCAGTTTAGACGGGCTTATCTCCGCACTAAACGGGAACAAATTCGAAGAATGAATCCATCATACACGTTGCGTGTAACACTGCACGGAATGGTGCTTTGTTATTGAATAGCAATTGGGAATTGTTGAATAATTCAACATTTCAGAACGTATCTTTAGAGAATTTTCCAGATAAAGATATAACCGAAACAAACCAAGCAAAAGAGCGAAATGTTGCCGTCGAACCCGAATTAAAAGCGAGTAATGTTATGAATGCAGATGGGTCGCATCCAACTCGCCGAATATATCGTCGTAAAAAAGATGGTTGTGGTTATACAGCCATATCACAGCGATGGTTCGGTGAGCACTCTAATTCTCATCATTCGTTGTTCTATTGGAACTCTCAAAATTTACTCTGCTCTTCAATTTTGTCGTACATATCACCAAATGACTTCTGTTACGTCATATATGGGCAAAGTTGAATTCTTTGCTTTGGATCAGTTTGAACTGAAATTGATGACTCAATGTAAACTTTTAAAAGCTAGTTTTGAACGAGTGACACATGGTTGCTGAGACAGTTGTTGACTAATGAACAATTGATTATTCAGAGTGATAGTTATCATTCACTGATAATTTATTATAGCGATTATATTGATCTCCATACTCGTCGCTTTATTCGCGTCATGGATTGCACATTCGAGTATTGACATCGAGCACGATTCCGAAAGTCGTTTGATTTTGGAGTCAATAAGGTGATTGATTGATTGTCTTCGACTCTCGTTCTTCTTTCAATACTTCTTACTTTTTTATATAGACGGAGACGGTAATTGTTTCGTTTATGGGTGTCTGAGAAAATGGCATTTCTCAAGATGCGTATTGAAAGTACAATTGGGTAATACAGCTAACTTTAAAAAAGCTAATGACAATATATCAGTAATTTTGTGAACGTTCGTTGAAGGGAAACCAATCTTATCGATCATTATCCTTAAAAGCTGAATTATCGCTGTTTTTGGATCGCGAACGATCCCAAGTTATATTCATGTCGTGTCAGTAATTGATAATATGAGTATTGACTAGTACGTATATGCATAACATCAACTGTAAGCGTTGATTATGAAATTATTGGACAGAAGAATTCTGCTCTGTTGTGTGATATTTGCTTGTAACCGTGTCACTTAAAATGATTGAAGGTGTTCACTGAATAAAACAATTTTGGGTGGACACACGGATTGGTTGAATGCAACACGTCATTCTGATCATCTTATCGGCCAGACAGACCCACTTCTGAGAAGAAAATCAATTGGAAGCAGGTTCGACTACTAATAACTTCTGATCAGTTCTATATTTCGATTGATATTCTTTGGTGTCGTTGAACACTTCATCTCTCCAGCTCATCTCTCAAATTACTAGTTTTGCTTTTGTGGTCTCGCTGAATCAGTCGAATTTCAGTTCATTGAACGCACCAGAGTGTGAACTATCAACGTTGTTGGATGATCGTATTTCGGCCATCTTGTTGACATTCATCGTATTTCCATCAGTTCCGTTTATTACACTCGTTGTTTTCGTTATTTCTGGATTTTGTGGTTATGGCTTGAAAGATATCGAGAAAATACGTCCGGTTTTGAATCCGTTCGTCGTCGAGAAAATTGGCTCTTTCAACATATCCGATTCAACTGAATATGAACGGTAATTGTTTTCATTTGTTATTTAACGCTTCTTAAACCTAGTTGGGTTAGATGCGTCGTATTAACATTAATATTCATTAATATACTCTCTCGCTTTTCTTTAGGATCATTTCTTAGCGGTAATAAGTTCAGACTGAATTTATCCTGTGAGTCTTACATGGAAATTAGTAAGGAGTTTGCTTGTGAAAGCATACAGCAGCCTCAGAGTGATTTTTTTTTAAAGATTGCCACTGCGAAATACTTTCAAAAATGTTGAGTTCATCGGTTTTTTTATCGTTATCAAATGCTACGAAGGTTCAATTGCCTTCTAAGTGATCACTTTATCTGTGTTCACAAAGTGAATATTTTTTGATGGATTTTCAGAAACATGTCGTCAATGAATGATCAGTTGGAATTATTGCCGATGTGGTCATCAGCTGAGCAAGACAGGGTTTCCAAGTGGACCGGAAAGATAGTGTCCTCACAGCGTGCACCTGCCAGAATTTGTTCATCGGCAAATTGTTTGAGTGACGATTTAAATGAGGAGAAGACTTCGATCAACAGTCAAACAGTCAGTGAACCAGCGGATCCGAACGTGGAGAGGCCGTCCAGAATTAGAAGGTAATTTTTATTTCGTCTCTTACTCTGTTTTCTTTGTTAAAGTTTTACCATTAGTTCAGAATGTTTTGATGGTATTTCCTCGCAACCAAAGTCTGCTAAAAATGACCGCCAAAGTCGATCAGTTTTCATCAAAAATGATATTTTAAATTCAAATTCTGCCGGACTATTAAAATTTTTCAATGAACATCTTAAAAATCAGCATCGAACCGTCCTATATTATGAAAGGATTGATTTACTAAGGAAATGTGATTTGGCGCGGTAATTGAATAGGAAGAAGAGGCTATTAGGCATGAATGATGAATGATAGAGAAGAGTTTGATTTGAAGGCTGAATTTATTGGAACGGTACGCAGAACGTAAACGTAATCGAGGTCATTTGCTGTCTTCGTCAGCAATTTCAGAAGTTCAGGCTCGTTTATCAGCAAACAATTTGAGTAGTGTATGTAATTGATCGATTGTCTTCTTCTTCATATTTTACTCAAATGATACAACTATTCGAATGTTGAAAGCTCAATCATTTTTTCATCGATTCAACATTATTCTCTCATTACTGATGGAATTTTTTACATACTTTCAAAATTTTCATATCAAAGAATTTTTGTATCGCTCACATGTCCTCAAGACTGTTCAGACTCTTCTTGACATGAGCTTTTGGGGAGGTATTGAATATTAACGATTTACTTCTCAGCAATTGAAAATGATAGTGTAATAAATAAAGATACAAATAGGGCCGGATGGATGTAAACAATCTTATTGTTTTTACTTACCGTTACTTGGCTTCGATTCACAATTCTAATATTTGCGATTTGCATTTCACCGTAATTGAACGATACTGGTGATGTAAGTTGTGTATTCATATGAATCAACACGATAAACAGTCATCTGATCGTGGTGAAAATAATTTAGTTGAACGTATCGGCAGCAGCATCCGATAGTGTTTTGCGTCACTCTGACAACGCACCCACTTTCAACACCAGCACCGACATCAGGAGTATTTACTCGTCTTGGTTACCAACTAATCCGTCAAGTTCTGCTAATTTGACAGGCATTAGTGAACAAGTTGATCCTGCATTCCAGGTTTATATTTTCTTTTTGAATCTATTTCCCAATGGTGGTGGGAGGATTCCCGTAACATATCGTTCCCTTTCTTGAATGCTTCTGACGGTTGTTCGCAGTGCTCGTTTCAACAAAGATTTATGTTTTAGCTGATTTCATACTGTGGATATCATAAATTTTATAAAATGACCAAAAAAAGTAGCGACCTATGGTTTGCGTTGGAATAGCAACTAGTTTTTGCCACTGCAACACGAACGGTAAACATCAGGAATAATTTTGAGATTCAAATACTTCGAGTTGATTGCTGAATAGATTCAGTTAAGTACGTTGCGAAAGCGTTGAATATATTTCAGCATGAAAAAGTACCCTTTAAATCATCACTGGGTAGTAATTAGGAATTTTCATTTACTTTGAACTTCGATAGATATGGGGAGACGGTCTGTGCAACACAACGGAAAAAAACTTGATAATATTAATCATATGAATTGCGTCACATCCAATCAAACAATCCCATCGTAAATTTATGCTATTTGAACTTGAAAAGTAATCTATCTGCGTATGTTTCACTACTCATTGTCATTGTAAGTGATGGACAAAGATGTAATGCATAACAGACTATTTGTAGACTGCGGCAGTAGTTTCGGCATATCAAACCGGCATAATCGAAGGCCGTTACCAGGAACGGTGTAATCGTTACGCAGATCAAATTAGACAACTCACTGAAAATCTTGATCAAGCCAATCGGGAATTACGTCGTATCTCAGCTTTTCCCGAATCATTGACGAATGCGCCTGAGCACACAGTTCCGTCTCATAATTCAAGTTAGCTTTCTGATTCGAATTTAGGAATCTTATTTTTTGGCACATGGAGAAAAGAAAATCATTACATAAATTGGTTATGCGTGTGCTTGTGCCTATTTTTGATAAAATGAAATTCCTAAAATTCTACCAGTCAAAAGTAAAGTAAAGTTTTTTTAGACGGCTGGGGGAGGAATGATGGGTTCAGAGTATGTATGCTACAAAAATTTGCCAAAGATTCATTTTATATTTGAACAGAACAGATTTATTGAACAGATTCAAATGTTTCCACGATATTGATAATGGCGTAATCGCTGTTTGAATGAACCATAGTTGAATCTTCTCGATCTTCCTCGACGGTAGTGATTTTAAGTGTTGCGTTTTGATCGTGAAAAAATTTTTAGCGAACGAAGAGAATACGGCACCTCCTCGAAAGGTGTCCTCTGAGCAAACGGTTGATTCCGAAAGCGATTCGTCGCCAACTGATGCTGATCAAACGATTAACAATCGAAATGACCTCGATAAAGCCGAATTGTTGAATGCTGCTTCCTTACGAACGACCCCAAATAAGAGCAGTGGCATCGCATCCTCATCGGCTCAAGGTTATTATCTTCATATTAAATCAGTTATTGATATGTCGCATTTTCAATATCACTCATTTTTAAGAGTATGCTTATGCGATTCAGTTCTGAAATTAATTCATCAAAAAAGTGCTGTGACCTTTTCATTTCACGTCGAAATGCTGTTCGTTTTTGTTTACAGATGGGGCACAAAACGAGTCTAATGCCGTTGCCAGTGAGCAAACTAATCAGCATGCCAGCGTGGTGTCAGGGCGAAAGAGAAGTGCCCCAGTGGAGTGGGTTTTTTTTGTTATTTCCATTCTTTTCCTTTCCTATTTTGTCTGAAAGTGTCTTTTTCTTATTTTTTGTGCAGTTTTCTTTTTCATTCGTATGAAATTTTCATCGCTCTTTTACGACTACGTACCTTTTTTGATTGCTCTCTGCAATGATTCCATTCGAATGAGTTATGAAATATGGATAATTTATCGAATTTCAGTTGAAGAGTTCACTCTGAATTTTTTTTAAATTTCATCTTGTTAACTGTAATTAATAAACTGTTTTAAGTGGATCATCGAAACGTCACAGCAAGAAAAAAAGTAATACAAAAGCAGAAGATAAGGTGGATCAAGACGAGAATGTGGACTGGATGGTTGTGGAATCGGAAGATAGTAATAATTTTAATTCAGATGATGAAGATTCTGAAGAGGAACGATTTTTCAATGAAATGGTATATTTTATGTGATCAGTTTTGATAATCTATTGGAATGTTTCATTTTTTAAGGATATTCATTTCTAGTCATCACACCTTCTCTGTTCAACCGGTGATGGGTTCAAATGATCCTTTAAGTATAGCCAGACTCGTATTATTACACCTCTCCTGGTTACAGCTCAATGAGTTGCGAGAAGAGAGTAAGAGACATTCGGATGGTAATGTATTGAATGCAGAAAACAATCAACACTCGTCAGCACCATCAACTTCATCTTCACACCAAAACAACTCTGAAAAACAGGTTGTAGTGCATCTGTGCTTGTGGCCAGCAACGTTATAAACGTTTGATAGCCTGGCCGATCTAGGTAATCTGGGTAGTGCATCTGTAACCTATATGACATCTCTATTATAATCATATCCTCAAGCCACTCACCCCATTGGACAGGTGAACAAGCAGTCACCTCAGTCATCATCCATTGAGAATTAGAAAATTGACCACTCATCGAGATATTATCACAGAATTCAGAGGGAAATTTGTCATTTGGAATCGTTTGTTCGTGTTGAAATAGCCCGCAGAATGATATATAAATGTGTGTCAGTTGTGTTGATTGTTAAATTCTTCACGATCTAATTTGGGTGTTTGTAGTAGATGTAAGGAACATAATTTCACTCACATGTTTGGTTGTTGTTCGATTGACAAAGATTGTTTACAGTGTGTTGTAAGTGCCAGTGAAGGTCACCGTGAAGAGTCGCAACCAGCGTCGAATTCAGCTGATGGTTCTTCGACGAGTGCCTCAGTGAGTACGACATCAACAACTGACAGCAGCAGCAGTGCATCTCACCAACATTCTGCAACATTTATACTGTCTTCTCTTAATCCACCTATTCCAACACAAGTACACATTCTCTTTTTATTCATTTTATTGTTCCTCTCTTTCATATTCAGATGATATCTGAGTCAGTCCGAAAGAACCTCTCGTAGCCGTTGAATTTTACATTTGTAGGTTACAAATATGATCGATCGGTGCGGTAGTTATATGGTTTTTTAGGGTAATAGGGTGTTGGGTAATGTTCGCGTTGGTGGTTGTCAAGGCGCTTTACCCGTTCGATCTTCATCAATATCAGCGAGCCGCAGTCCTATGACACCATTGCAATTAAATGCGAGACCATTTAATGCCAATAATAATAGCAATCCAAATACGAATGGAGTGGTTCTTACAGCCGAACAACGTTTACAACTGCAACGATTACGAAATCAGTTGACTGAATCGGATTTGATGAATTGGAGTGAATACTTCAGACGACTCGCTTTCGAACATGCTCGAAGCAGAGACATGGCCAGAATGTTAAATATTCAACAACAAGTCCAAGCACGTGTACGCGGGTCAGTTCAGCGTTGTTATTTCAAAGTCGTTGGTTTAGTTTCGTTCGATTCTTAGAAGGGATTTTAAAATATCACATTCGATGTTTTCATTATCTCCAAGCAATGATATTTAATATTTATAAAGGAATAATGAAATTTCGTTTCCTCAAAATACTTACATTTAAGCAGTTTTGTTTGGAGTTATTTGATCGCTCAACTGAAAATCGAAACAAAATTGAATTCTTTAAGAGTGGTACCGGCTGTGATTCGAGAAGAAGAAGAAGAACTTGTTATGGATCCGTTTTCTAATGAACCTTCTACGTCGAACAGTAACAGCGATGAGTCTCGTCGTAATAATTCAACCGAAAATAGCAGAGTTGATTCTTCGAATTCCTCCACTAATCAAAACGATAGCAATGATGATCAGAATCGTTAACCTGATCTGCTTCCAAAATATGTGCAACCGTTCAAAAAATTGCCTACATCCGTTCCTCTAAATGTACAGTCCACTGAATTTATGTAAAGTGGTGATGGGAAGTCTCAATGCTGTTTTCTTCATTCCCTCTTGAGCGCTACAAATTCATGGTGCTTTCATGTGTGCTGCTATAGTAGATTGCTCAGTTTTTTTTCGTGTAAGTACGTCGTTTATTATAGAGATGTGTGGTAAAATTGCAACAATTGAATCGTAATAAGGACCTATGTATAGTATTCAAAAGCAGCATTTACTGTTGATTGTTGTGTTGTTTTTTGCAACTGTACACCTATTTGATGCAACATACTTCTCTTGAATTGTTTACTCGACTGTTTTTTGTTGTCATAATAATTGTTATCGTTTTATTTAAATCGATATTATTCATATTGCATTATGCAAACAAACTCAAAGAAATAGGGTGAAATGCATCGAAGTTAAATGTTGCATAATGTAATTCTAATAATTTGCTTCAGCGTGTGAAATGTTACATTTCATTCTAATGTGTTGTTGTTGATGTACTGTTGAAAGGAACTTGTGGTGTTTGCGATTGGGGAATGGGCGTACACTGAGTAATCTGGAAAAGAAACTTCGTTAATTTTGGTTTGGTAAGGATCACTGATCTTGGAATGGAGTTGTTAGCGGCCGAAACCTGGTTATTTGAGATATAGTAACTTTTATTCGTGCACAACAACAATGCAGCGTGGGAAAGTGAAATTTTGTTGGATTTGTTGTCGTATGCAAACGCGTTCATCTTCCAAACATTGGCTCCTTTGCTGAATAGTTGGGCAATGTGAAGAATTGTCTATGGCGTTAAAATGTAAGCGAAATTTCACGCAGTTAATGGGGCTAAATAATTTTCGTTGACACTTCTTAATTTGATCGAAGTTTGCGTCTCATTCGGTCTTATATTTTATCAGTTTGTTTGTTTGATACGCAGTTGGATGGATGGAATCTGTGAGTAGGAGACGTTGTAGATTTCCTAATCGCTACGAAAAAAGAATTGCAGAAGAAGATTTTAAAAAGCGAATAATTGTATTATATTGATTGCAGTTGTTGTTACTCGTTATTGCTTCAAATTTTAAATTGTCACGTTGTACTTCTGATATCTCAAGAGAACACAAATCGTTGATCGATTGCATGATCTAATTGAATAAATTTGCTCATTTTTTCATCATTTGATTATATTTTTGGATTGTATATTGACTCTTGTTTAGCAAACAATTCAGCGTTCTTATGAATGCTTATATCTCGTTTATTATTTGTTCATGTACAAAAGGTTTTCAGCTTGAACGTATAATTATCATTTTCGGATGGTGTGCTCAATTTATTAATTTTAACTTATTATGATATAAGGGAACGTTCTATAGCAATAACTTGAACGGGTTGTACCAGTGATACTGTAATGACTGAAGTAAGGAGCTGAGAAATTTTTGTAGATGTTATATTGCGTTTATATTCGGTGCTAGTCTCATAAGTGGAATGTGGTATGAGTGAGTCATTGCTGCGATGAGGTAAACTAGGTTCACCACATAGTTCACGTGTAATCTCTTGAATTGGATTGTTAACAACGCTGTTTCAGAGATACAATGCAGTCGTCGCTATTGTGTCGCCAAGCAAAGTTATTCACTCTGCTCACTAAACGATGTTCGAGTCAGTTTCATGGTTATGCTTCTTATTATCCAAATTCACTCACTTTTATTATTCATTTCGAGAAATTACTGTAGCAGTGTTATCGTATTCGTATGTATAGTGAATGCGAATTTCTGAATTTTGACTGATCACTCATCATCGTAAGCTTTATTTATGATTCGATTTCTTGTGCCTTATTCATGAAGTACTTTCAAGGTTCTGGATTGATGGTGCATCGTGATACGCCCGAAAATAATCCAAAATCTCGCTTCGAATTCACATCTGAAAATTTGAAAAGAATAAAACAAATTGTAGCGAATTATCCGGAGGGACATAAGGTGTGTCACTCAGCTTTTCTTCATCTGCTTTTTCGACACTTAATTTATTCAATCGTCATCTACAAAACTGCGCATTCGTTGGAAGTGGATCATATCGTTTAGATGTCGACTGAGCTGTGTCAATGGTTTCTATTATTATCGATATCACTGTATCACAGCAACATTTCCATTTCTCGTGCAGTGAATCAGTTTAACAACATTTACACTTTTTAAGATTTTCAGCTGAGTTGTGCCGGAAATGTATCGACTGTTTCAATAAAAATTGTTTCATTTTTAACGAATTTTCAGTCTGCAGCCCTATTACCAGTGTTAGATTTAGCGCAGAGACAACATGGTTGGCTACCGATATCGGCGATGCATGAAGTGGCGCGTGTTCTCGGTTAGTTAGCGAGTACTGTTATTATTGTTGAAGTTTTTGACGAGCATTACCTTTCATATAATTAAATGTGATCGTCATTTAAATGAATGTAATGTTTGTTCTAGTAGGATTAGAATGGGATAATTAAAGTCACGAAGCATGTTATATTATGGATAATGCGCGATTTCAGCATCGTTCTGTGTGCCTATCTTGAGTGCTAGAGCGTTAGTATACATTCATATAATGAAGGAATTAACGTCAGCTTACTATTGCGCGTGATTACATTATAAGAAACTATGGGGGCATTACGTGAAAATGAAATCGATTCCCAGTTGATAATTTCGTGAAAATTTGATTGTGTTTAATTGTGCACTGATTTCATTGATTAGAAATTCCGCGAATGCGTGTCTACGAAGTGGCCACTTTCTACACAATGTTCAATCGTCAGCCTGTTGGGAAGTACTTCATTCAAGTTTGTGCCACAACTCCGTGCATGCTTCGTGGTGCTGAGTCGATCACTGAGGCCATTCAAAAAAAACTTGGTGCGTTCCCGAATACCAAAATCTTGCTTTTTTTCTCTGTGCATATGCGAGTGATGTTTGACAAAATGCACTGATTTCAGGAATAAAAGTTGGTGAAACAACAAAAGACGGCCTTTTTACGTTGGCTGAAGTGGAATGCCTTGGTGCTTGCGTTAATGCGCCGATGTTTCAGGTTAATTGTTGAATCTGAATCGGCCACTTAGAATTGTTCATTTCTTATTACAGCTTCGATTACCGGAATTATTTTAATCTAATTTGATAACGTTATTGATTTGTTATCGTTAAATAAATTTCAGTTGAACGATGATTTTTATGAAGATCTTACGCCAAAAGATGTGGACGACATTATCGATGAATTGAAGGCTGGCAAACGACCAATGCCAGGGCCAAGGAGTGGACGTCAGGCAGCTGAACCACTTGGCGGATTGACATCGCTGAAAAGTCCTCCAACAGGCCCTGGTTTCGGTATTCAGCCAGGACTGTGATTCTCTTGTGGTTGTTTCATTATAGGACTGCGAATGTTTCGCCAAATTAATGACTGCAAAATTCCATTGTAAATTTTCATTTAGCTCCGTGTTTTGGCTACTCTCTCAGTGGCTTAAAAGTGATATTTATGTTAATTCCGAACGTTTGACTCGTTTTTGGGAGGAAGTTTTTTGTAATGATGATAGATTTTATGCTATCAACTTCTTCAATTTGAAGTTAAGTATACGATTGAGAAATGTGCGATCATTGAGCGATATATCGATGTATTTCCATTATAGATCGTAGAATGCAAATTTCATTTCAACTTTGCTTTGGAGATTCGATCACTATTCACAGTAGATATTGTTTAACTAATAAAGTATGACTTATCGTATTGTTCATAAAAATAAAACAACTTCTCGAAGCTGAACATTCAAGTGCATGCTCCTTTCCAAGCTGCAAATGAATTAATTGACGTTATTTCTAACTGAACGCGATCTTACATCGACTTAAGGCCGTGATCGCTCGCAAGTATATCCGAATAAAGCCTTGATATAACATGATTCGGCGTTTTGTAGTTCGCATACTGTGTTGAATAGCATACAGTTGGGTGATTGTCGAAATTGAGGAGCCGTTCGAATGCGTCTGATTCAAATTCATTGCTGCCTCACTCATGTTTCGTTTCTTGCAATGAAGGATTGATTCATTAAAATTGCTCTCAAAACTTAGTGTTCTTTTCACATACACAGCAGCATTTCAAGGTACTTTTCACACACAGCAGCAATGATATCGCGAATCGTCGGTTGCTGAAAGAAAATGTCGTCAGCAGTGGTGTGCTGCAGAGAATTTCGGGGATTCGTCCACGAAAATCTCCGGTTTTCCCCGTCCTCGAATTTTTTTCATCCCGCACCACACTAGTCAGGAGTTGGGCAGGCCAAGGTGATATTACCAAGAAAGAACATCATAGGTTTCATCTTTTAAAAAAGATGAAAATTACGTGCATGCCCAGTTTCGGCAGCACTATCTGAGATCGAGTTATACGCAGGCAGCTAAGTTCACAAGATTCTCAATTATCAAGTGAGCACTTTTGTTGTCGAGGATCATACCTAACTGCTCAATGTACAGCTGAATCTGCAGTGATGCGTTACCACCGGAACCTGCATCGATGTTGTCACGCTATTGCGTTAGGTATGCTCCCCTCCCCTCGCCACCGCACTGATTGCATGATAGAACGTCGTTTTCGCAACAATCAATGTACCTTTTCACAACGTAATATTTTGATGAGAAATCAAGAATCAACCACGAAATTGATCCTTTGCTCAAGAAATTTATCGTTAGTGATAGCAAACGAGTTACTTTTTCGTTGTCAAGCATGCACTTTGTAACATTTTTTAACAACCATTCAAGAATGATGAGGAATCAACCACAGTGATTTGTCATCCTCCACAGTTCCTCACTGACAAACCAAATGCTCATCTAAGGAACCTCCGACCCCTCCTATAAGAGCACCGCTCTATATGAATCTCGATGTGCTTATTAACTGTGAAAGCCTGCTGTGATCGTCTTAATCCTACTTCAGAAACTCAAATTTTGCGCTGAATGACGTCCAATCCGACAAAATACTTCGTTACAATACAGTTCCGCATATAAAATAACAAGTGCATTCAAATGGTCCCTATGCCATCGTATGCTTCAAAAATCCCTTCAAATATTTACGCCATCAGCCAACTTTAATCAACCCTTAAACAGGTTTGTTTTAATGCTATTATCATTCTGTTCTAAGATAGAATAATGCATTGTTTCGTTAGTTTTCCAACCACTTTGGGTGATCTCACAGAAACGAGTATTCAATAAAATGCAATGAGATCATATTGATGTCACGAAACTCCTAACAAAAATGATGACATTTTAACTGCAGAGACCATCCGCCTATTGTTTAACACCAAATCTGGTTTTAACGAACTGAACCACTATTAAACTAACTTAACAATATTATTTATCGTCTCAGTGAAACACTCTTGTCATTTCCTTTTTTTTCACTTGCAACTTGTTAAATACAGTGAAAATAGTTCCATGTTGATCACGAGATGCGTACTTTTGTACAGTGTTATTTTTTTAAAGAAACAATTCGTTTAGTTTATTCATTTATTTGTTTGTTTCTATTAATACGAAAAAATGTTTTGTGATGCTAACTGCGATGTAACGTTTGCAATTCGAAATTTTACCAATCAAACGAGTTCAATTTCTTCGTTTGCTTGAGCCCTGGAACCGTTGCTTCATTAGCGATATTTCATCGCATTGTGACAAATTTCCACTGTATCGCATTCCAGATTCATATAAACATATGAATAAATTCATTTCCCGTTATCCTGAATTCACTCAGGGCTGCTATTTTCTGATTAGCACTGTGATCATCATTTTCATCACTCAAATCAGCATTATTCGTCGTCGGTAATGCTTTTATGGCTCTATTAATAATAACAACAACAATAACAATACTAATAATGATTTAAAAAATAATACTAACAATAAGATTTCAATCACAACGATATTATTGCTATTACTATTATTATTTTTATCACTTTCTTCTCTGTTATTATCATCATCAATATAATTTTATTTCGCTATGCAATTATTCGTTTGCAATATTTTTTTCGATTCACTGTTCTCTACATTCATCTCTAATTTTACGTAATTTGTTTTTTTAGCGGGGACATTTCAATATGAAGTATTTATTCAGTTCTAATTGTAAGTATATTTGTAAAAGTATATATTTTTAATAATAAATATATTAATTTTAATATAACTGAGAAATGTTACTCGATAAGTCCAAATCATGTTCAATCGTCAGTGTAAGTGGCCTCCTAGGTGCCCATCAAATAACCGTATGATCCATTAGTGATATTTCATGTTATCAATGCAGCTTGTTTAATTGTGCAACAGCTTTAATTCGAATGCCATTACCTGAGAAAAAAACTCCAGCAGCCTGTTTCACTATTTGATCGTTCCAGTTATTAGTCGATCAACAACAAAATTCGATGTGGTTCCCTTATCAGCCATATTCTATTATTATTTTGAAGCACTAAATTCTCTGCAATATCATCGATAACAACGCCCAGCTTTGGAGCCATTCATGTGAATTGCCTTAATATGTGTCGTTTGCTGATTTATTTTCTTATTGGGTAAGCTGTTCGCTATTTCTATCATGAATCAATCATCACAATGTGTTTGCTTTATGCAGGAGGTAAATCCACTCGATTATGAAATTCTTGATGAAAACTGATCGATCAGTGTTTTACTTATTTTGTCTATATTATCGCGAATTTCTATTCGATAAGTGTATATCAGAAACAGGTGGTTCTCACATTGTTGCATTTCGTATTCCATTTCGCATTAGCCGAATTCAACAAATTTCGTGACCGTCAGCTCTTCCTTCTCTAAAATTTATTTCTCGTGAATGGCGCCTCGAAAGGGTATTAAAATATTGTTTGAATAATAAGAAAACTTACTGTCGAGTATTCGTCAAAGATATCAAGAGACGAATCACTTCGTTATGATCGAGATAGCATGTTGAAAATATGGCTGAAAGATTATGAAAGCAATGTGAAAAAAATGATCAGCATATAATCCAGTAATCAGCATGATCAGGAAAACTTGCGCAGCCAAATCAGACAAACAAAAGAATAATTTTTTAACCTCTTCAGTGCCCTCCTAACATGTTCAGACTTCCTCCTGGGAAGGGATTCTGCGCTACCTCTTCTGGGAATCAATGCCATAAAGCTCTTAATTTACGATGAATGTTCCGTAAAAGGCCTCCTTCGTGTGGATATTAGTGCAGTGCTTCTTGTCAGCACGCTTTACTCTGTAGTTAAGGTAAGCATTCGGTCCAGTGAATTCAATAGATGGCCACTTTTTTCGGAAGGAAATTCCGTTGAAGAAATGACAGACGAAGTGAACGGATATAATGAAGTAGACGAGAAGCGACGATACGTGATGAATCAATTGGCGTGTTCAAATGAGCACTTAATCGAGAAATTACGATAAAATTACAACAACACGGAAATGAGTTTAATGTTTATTGAGTTTGATATTGCAAAAGTGTATTGCAAGACGGATATAAGTTTAATTTATTGCAGTGTGTCGATTATAATTAAAAGTAAACAAGATGACGACGAGGTGAGCATGGATAGGTGAGCGATTCTCGGTGCATTTCTTTTCAAGTCTCATCTCACGACAGAGAACACATATTTTACACTAATGGCTAGAACTGGGAACCGAAGGGTTTTTTTCGTGGTCACCGATCGATCAGCCGCTTTCGAATTTGGTTGGTAGTCCACAATTGCAGGCGGCCACCGACTTAACTTTAATGCATACATCTGCTATTTTCCTTAGTTAGGATTCCTGCAAATCAGGACTTTGAACATGGGATAACGAAAATACTAACCAAGTTCCATTTCGAGTTTAGCTCTGAAGCGAAAAAGTGTGATCAACGTAGCGAAATGATTATTTGTAAATGTTTCAAGAGAATCCAATCCAGTGGTTTATAACATTGTGAATTTGGAAGTGTTATGTCTCAACTGAATATTTTCTTTCAATTTTCCTACACAAGAAATGTGAATTCAGACGGCGAGTCGCACAAGAAGCTGAAATTATCAATAATCTTCTTGATGGATACAATCCTGAGGTTCGACCTAGTGGCAGTGTGCTCTACGAAGGTTTGTCTCCTGAATGGTTCTGTTGTTTAAATCAGAAAAGGGAATGCTGAATGATGAGAAATGCAGAATATGCGACGAAGTTTTCATTGCAGATTGAGCCTTGCTCCGAGGTCGAAAAAGAGCCCATAAATAACCGAGAATTCAGTTTTAATTAGCTTAAAGCTGAAAATTCGATCAATATTCTCGCAGCTCTTACTGAACATACATACATGTTTGAGAAGCAGCGATAGACATCGGTATCGGTTGTTGAAGCGTTGCATATTTCAATTCTCCCTTAATAATTGCTAAGAGCAAAGAACAAAGATAGAATGAACATTCAAATAGTTTCTTCGAGAATTCGCTTTTTCTGATTGCGTAATATTTGGTTGGATTTTTTTTCCTGGTTCTCGAATTCGAAATGTGTGGGACATTTATTGATTTGATGACTGGAACTTGATCGATGATTTTAATCCTCATGAGATCAAGTGCTCACAGGAGATCTTTTAATCAGTCATATACCTGTGCACAAATAATGTGATGATATTTTCAGGTTATCATCGACCCGTTGTCGTCACTGTTAATATGTATATCAGAAGGTTCGATATTCGAAACGTTTCGCTTGCACACTTGTTGAGTTTGAAGGATCCTAATCTTGAGAGATTCATTAATTCTAACATGTTTGATATGTTTATCTCTCGAGGAGCTCTTTAAAAATATACTACATCCCATTACGACTACTGTTTTGTTCATTTTTAAATACTAGGGCATGGAACATAATGTTAGGATCGCCACTATTCGATATATGCGTTTTAAACTGAAAATTTTGATCCTTTATTGTGATAATTTCGGAATTCCAGTCAAGGGAGTAACACAATTAATGACTAATGATAATGGTTGTCTCGTCAATCGCGGTTTCTTATTGTACGGCAGTTATGCACATCAAACTAGGCATTACTTAAAACCAATAACCATGAATAATTAGTGCAACGATAAAGACGTAACGCTTGAATAGGTGTCTTAACAATTTCTGAATGCACTGAGGCGAGAAAAAAGCGGAAATAGAAGCACATTTTTAGCATCAGAAAAGTGGATGATGCAGAAATGCAGTACGATGTAGACGTGACCCTGAGACAGAAATGGAGAGATGATCGTTTGTCGTACGCAAAGGAGGGACCTGATAGTATCACGTTGAAGGACCCTCATAAAATATGGACGCCGGATTCATTTTTTGCGGTCAGTTCTGAACGAGATGGTGATATTCATTCACGATTCATTCGGTTGAACCACCCTCGAGCTTTGCACAGCACCGATTGCGGGCTTGAAAACGGCTCGTCACAGAAACTTTATTGTAACCTTTCGTTATTAGAATGGTTCTTCGAATTGGAGCTTTAAAACTCATATTCAGATATTGTAATAACGGACGAAGAGGGTGATTAGATAAATGATAAGTGTCATTCAGAATGAATATGAAGGTCAAAGACACATGCTTGATCAACCGAATACACTCGTTCGGATTTCACGCGACGGCTCTGTTTTCTACAGCACACGACTGTCTCTCGCTCTGACGTGTGCGATGGATTTCGCGGTTTTGTTTTTAAATTTGAAAAACATTGATTCCACTGTTGATTTCTGGAATAAGTGATGTCAAGAGAACCCGTTGTGATTCTCGATTATTAACAGTCCGTTTCTGGTGTTTTCAATAGCACACTTGGTGTTCTCTTCTCGTATTCCCGAAAAGCGCATTTGATTCACACATTTACCGAATCTTTCAGAGATTTCCATTCGATAACCAAACATGTTCTTTAACTATTGAGTCATACGGATACACTGAAGACGACATAGGTTTGTTAGTATTTACGAATATTCTGGTTTCGATCGTGTTCTACACTTACTGCTCTAATCAAGGACGAAGTTCTGATCAATTCTCGATAAGGCAGTAGACGTAGTTTAGGACGGAATCTCCATATTCCATAGTTTCCATTACATGAATACTTTCATAAATATTCACTGACAATACGAATTAAAATTTTTCATTTGAAGCAATCAATTTTTAGAAGTGTCTTGTAGAAATAGCAAGTATTTTATTTCAGTATATGCATGGGACAATGATAATCCCATCAAACACTCGAAAACGTTCACGACTTCGTCATTATTCGATGTTACGAATATAACTTACGAAGGTGGCTCTACAAAAGTGAAAGAGCATGTCTATGCATTTGTTAAAGCAGTCTTTCACTTGCAGCGTCGATACGGGTTAACATTCATCTTTGTGCACTTCTGTTTCGAACTTAATCGCTCAAAACATTGTTTAATCACCGACGTTACAAATATAACTTGCGAGGCACAACTTCGGGAACGTGCTGAAAATGAAATCGTATCCGATGTATCTGGCAAACACCGTTCTGATATGCGTTCATTTCGAATGACTCGAAAAAGCTTTATAGGTATTATTTGACGCACTTTTACATCCCGTCAGCTATGTGGGTTGTTATTTCCTGGTTGGCATTCTTTCTACATCCTTCCAAGACAACTGCAAGAACCATCATTGGATTCGGATCTGTTGCGGTGTTCAGTTTAATGGTGCGTTCTTTTGTGATTCATCCTCCGAATTCTTAGCCAATGATTCGAAGAAATATTAAGTTGTGAAAAGAAATGCTTGTTAAGGGGGAAAAATAACTTACAGATATTGATGTTCAACAACGATATACCAAGAACATCTTATAGTAAATCAATCGATATTTGGACTGGAGGTTAGCTGAATTTTATTACGAGAAAAGCGTGATATGGTTGCTATTGAGGCATTCAATATGAGAGGAGAAACGATTTTTGAGAAGACGTCACACGCAATAACAGTGCTCAGTGGTTTGAAGAGGCTGTTGCCCATGCATCAACGTTGCTAGAAACAAAATGATCCGCGGAGGATACCCTTTTTTCGGGGATGAAACTTTTGACTGGGTGAAGTTTTTGTGAATTGGACAAACTGTCATCATAGACTTTGAATCGCCGATGGACATTTCCATCGCTGAAGGTATGAAAGTAGAGACGATTGATTACCGATTGAATGAAAAGGTCAATCAGGAGGTTTTTCGCTGAAAGTGTGCTTTGTAATGCGTATCTGATTGCAGTGACAATAACGTTCATATTTTTTTCACTCATCGAATCCATTCTTGTTTGCCGTCTCCATTCAGGTTGGTCTTTATGGACTTACTCTTGGCGCTGTTCAGTTTCACTCATTTCTCATTGCCAAACTCCATTCGAAATTAGTTTCCTACTCACCTATCAGTGAAATTCTCTCTTCCACTGATGAGCACCTATTCCTGCTAAGTTTCAATCCATTCTTCATCTAACATCTCGAATGGTAGTAGTGTACAGATGAGCCTTTAATCGAAAGGAATAGGACAGAAACGGAATGAAGTCCGTTCCATGAAATGATGAAATATTGAATGTGATGAATTTCATCGAGTATCCCAAACTAGTTGGTTACTTCTCAGTTGGTTATATTGGGATTGCAATAAAAATTAATTGAATATGACTAGTAAGATATTTCTTCGGACAAAATTATTCCTTTAAGCTGATGAGTGTCGTGCGTCATGAAAATTTTTCGTGAAATATGAAGAATAATCATTGATCATCACGAATCGCATTTGTTGCGATCAACATGAAGTAGAATGTGTTTGCATTCTCGCAGTTGCGAAGAAAGCTTACGCCAGAAACCTACTGTTATCATTGATTTTTTAAAGTTGTACTCAGTGTCAGTTTGCTTTCAGCACGTCATGATTGCTGTGAGGCAATGATCGCAGAATCAGTAAGCATTTAAAGATCACTTCGAAACAGTTTCCATTCTGTTGCAAATGCATTCCGTTAATGACTTCTCATTGATCTTATAAAAGCGACTGTACTTATGCGCCTTGAATACAACTATGTTCTCAGCAAGAAATCGAACTAGTCACATCTGGAACTAAATGGAATGCGAGGAAACGGCAAAGAAGCGTCGTGGGCAGAATCCGTGCACTTTTGAACGCAAGAAGTGAAAAAATTGATCGCATATCGAGTAAGTGAATTCGAAATTTGAAGTTTGTTTTCGCTTCGGAACGTTTTAATTGAGCAAGCGATAGCATTAAAGCGTGAATATAAAATAGCATTTGTGAAATATTTCCTCTAGTAACATTCATAAACGTCATCATTGGTGATTTTGCTGCTCGCAAACTCATCAGACTGCCCGACGAAAGATTCAATGCCCTCCAAGTTCTCTTCGCTTCCCAATGAGTACTCTACCTACCTGCTGTCTGCGTTACCAATAGAAAACACTAAAAGTAAACAAGATGCGAACAATAAAATCCAGTGTAAGAGATAAACATGATTTTTGAGTTGTAATGACGTGATCTAATAAACTTTTTGTAATGCACCTTTGTGTATTACTATTACATCCCCAGCTGTACACATGTGAATAATGTGTTACCAATCAATCCTAAGCAGCTGGGTATATCTAATTCGATACAGTATAAGAAATTTATATGTGGATTGCAGACAGGAAAAGTTTTGTTGATCAGTCGTGTTTTATCCACTTGAATTGTCGCATTGATTGACACTCTAAACTGCAAACAGCTGGTAGTGCACATCGTAAACTGTTTGATAGCGAATTGCTTGCATTTTTTAAAAGCACCCTAAAAAGAAGTATTTTCATATAACGAGCACATCTAAATTTCAGTGCTCGTTTTCCCTTCGGTGTTCTTCGCATTTGTCGTCTTCTATTCCATTGTGTGTTGGTTAATGTGACGATAGATGAACACGATACGACGTCTTAATTCATCAATTTTCAAAATGTTGTTCATCGCACTGATCCACATTCGTAATGTAATAACTCTTATCGTTGTCAAATGATGAACCTGTGCCATTAAGTTCATTGCTATGTAAAAGTAAGAGTCGTTCATCTGTATCAATGGTTTTCATTATCAAAAATATATTTTATATATATCGGAATAAATGCGTTCCCTCCATCAATGTCAACAGCTCCTGTAAAAATAAATATATTTCGTATGATAATATTCGTTCGATGCGTATGATTTTATTATTCGTTATTCATTAACAGTACCTTCGTGTTGTTTCAATAATATCACTCTCGAATTCATTGGTACCACATCAAAATAAGGTTCCACCATTCAGGATAACTCAATGGTCAAAATCATTCGAACCAGTTAGTCGATGCAAACCGATGCAAACCCTCAGTCACCTCTCAATTCTTCGACTAGTCAATATGACATCGATTGAAAATTTCTTTTCATTCATTTATATGCACAGATTATGTTATGTATTTCTTGTTCTCTGCTAATTCTACACGTGGTTGTGTTTAGAATTCAAATGAATGGTGAATTTAACTGGAACGGCTTGAGTAGGATTGTTCTTAAACAGTTCTCCTTATGGATATCTTCTGTTCGTTATTATGTTTCTGATTGAGAGCTTTTCAGTGCCATGTTGCTTACAATGCCCAGCATTGTTCGGTTGCAACGATTTTCCCAGGTGAGCTGTATATCAGCAGTTTACAACGGATTTGCTCCGTCCAAGACGACATGCGCAATCATTCGTTTTTGCCGTTTACAAGTGTGAAATATAATTGATAGCCAAATGTTCTGCTTTTGTGGTCGCAAGCGACACTGCAATTCACAAGAACGGATCTGAAACGCTCGCCATTAGAATATCTGGGAAATAGGAAGCATCCGAGTTGCGCGTCTGACATCGAACCTAGAACAGAATTGCAGCGTTGACATGTTGAGGGAGGTGTTTGGGTATGCCTATGAAAAACATAAGAGAGTGATAACGCTAAAGAATGTCGAGAGTGTACTTCGATAGAATGACACAAAGTTTACCCACGCTGATGAGCTGATAACGATAAAAGACAAACGCAATGCAATGTACAACTATCTGCTATTCTACTTTCGGCACACATCTCAGCGCACTCATCATTGCGATTCATATACTTCCTGTTAATTGATGTCTGAAAATTTTTGTTCATTTGATAATTGCTTACGAATTGCTCAGTTCTTTAGTGACTTTATCCATATACATCTTGCTTGCTTCAAGAAAAGTTCCCTCTTATAATACGCTGATTGAGTTTTGACAATTCATCTTTTGAGTTCTGGCACTGATAGGTCCCCTGCCTTATACTTCCAAATTCGTCTCCAGGGAGGAATTTCCTCTATATAAAAGTCACTGGTCTAGCTTGATAAAGCTTTTGAATTTTGAAAAACATATTTGCACTTTGCATGCGAGGGCATTTTTTTTGCAGAGCGTTACAGAACGAAGTTTCGTTAAGAATTGTCATTTACCTCGGTTCTCTTAAAGTTATTGACGAAACTGTTTACGAAGAATCAAGCAGATAATAGGCAGTTGAATGAGGATGGATGTCGTCATCACATGAGATCACCGGAATTTCGTATCAAGTTCGGCTACATACTGCGATCAATCAATCGACCGCGTCATTCATTTTCACTAGTGTTCCCCCTGAAAAAAAAGGGAAAGAAAGATCAAATAGCCATCACAAGTTTGTTAATCAGTCCATACTGTTCTCATACAACCCTGATTCTCAGTTTGCTTTGGCTAAATTCGAAGCTTCTTGCCACATTCACGCATCACTTACTCTTTCCGTTATAATTCACAACTCACGACCAATGCATTTCGTGCAATGTCACATATAAATTTCTTATATTTTCGGCTAATTGATGCATGTTCTAATGAACATAAATGTTCACATCACCATCGATGTCAATGTTTGCTCATTGAAAAAGCGACTTTACCAGGAGTAATATGTTTTGAAACGAACTCATCGGTACTGATTGAAATTGTTACATTGCAAGTAGAAGCACAAAGCACCGAATTAAAAGCATAACGAACAAAAACGCGATTACAAAAAAAACCGAAAGCTTCGTCAGTCCCAAGTTGAGTTTATTTCTGAATTAAATGACACTGGCTGGAGCTTGCTCGTGTGTCAACTCAGAATGATATGATATCAGTTACATCAGATTACATCATACAGAATGATGTGATCTGGTCTAATTGATAAGAGGTTGAGAGGTTGCGCTTTTATNTGGCACTGTACCCTTAAAAAAGCGATAAAATGCACCATCGATCAGCAGTTCAGTTTATTTCTGCGCTTGGTGAAGGAGAATACAAAATTGGCTATTTTTTGTAATTATATCGCCTTTTCTTCACCCTAATTATATCGCCCTTCACCTCATTATTTTTCACAAATCGATTCTCATCATATCAAAAAATTTCATGATCACATTTTCCAATTAATGCAAAAGTTGATTATTCTGTAGGATGTAAACTCGACGAAGGTTAGAAACAACGAACATATGCAGAGAATCTGCAATAAATTTGTGCTCATCGTTGGACGAGTTTGCAGAGTTGTTATTAGGCAAACTTTGCTCTTGAGTGTGTTATAAAGATGAGTTGTGTTCAAATTAGTGAAACCACCGATTTGTTTTCGTTGCCGTTTGATTTCTATTGCCTATTTCCCATTTCAAAGGCTAATTCTCCAATGTATTGCTCCTTATAGAACGTATCTTGTTCAGTTGTTCTCCTTCATCTTGACGTTTTGCTTTCAAAGACAATCAGGAATATGAATGAGGAATTCATTTGCGGTCAAAATTGCAGATATGAATGAACAGACTGGATTATTGAACGATCAGAAGGTGGAATCGGCAATGAAATCAAACAGAAAATTAAGCGGTGTTCCATCACGAATACCATCATTCCAATCAGAAAAATCAAGTGACAGTTCAAGTAAACCTATGAGGGTGAGTGCTTTTTCTTGCATTAACAACTTCTTTAAAGTGAATTCAACGTGCGTGCAGTCTTTTTCGTCACATCTATGGCTATCGCTCGTTTTTTCTCACAAACTGTATGTATCGCGGATCAGATTGACTCAGCTCATTTGAAGCAAGCAGGATAGGGATCAGAGAGTTGCCGAATCAATGCTTGAATGATCTGAAATATTGATCAGTCGATCCATTGCATAGGATTGCGATTACTCTGATGGTGACAGATACTGTTCCACAGCAAACAACCGAAATCGCTTATTCCATTCTACCAGTTCATAAAGTTGCTTATTTCTGATATGATACCAAATTTATGATCAAATTCTGAATTGGGTCAAAACTTGCGCTTTACTCATTTGGATCCTGCAAAACAATATCGTTGTTGCAATTGGGCTAACCAACTCAGAACTGTTTCCGATTCAAATAGTTGTGACGAAGGTCCATTTCACAGACTGTTGTCGAGTAATTTGCGTGTTGTACAGATGTTCCAACGACTTTAGTACTTTTAAACTATGCTTGAGCACAGATTCCATCTTCGGACCTCTATAAGTCTGACAAGCATGAAACGATGAATTGCAAGCAATCGACACATGGTGACAAACGTAACGCGTTTTTGATCACGACACTGAACAAATATTAGTTGCATTAGTGCAGGAATCGTTGAATAGGAATAAGACGTTTCGGCAACAATAGTAATAGTAATGGCAGTAATAAAAGTAATAATAGAAGTAACAATAGTAATGATAATAACAACTGGACATGCATAATATTAGTCAAACTAACAACAGTGATAAAAACAGCGATAACAAAAATAGCAAGCCTGGTGATGAAAGGGAAAAAGAAACAGCAAAGCAGTTCTTGCTTAGCCAGTAAAGATGAGAGAATGACTTTCAAGTGTGATGTTGCACATGAAAAGATGCACTTTCAAGAATGACCTTAAGCAAATAGCATTTGTTCTTATTTGCCTGCGAGAACGTTCTACTTCTTTCGCAGCGTTGCAAGTGTTTTCGATAACATCAGCTGATTGTGAGCGTAATCTAACAACTTACCCTTCTGTTAGTCANATCGTTTAAACTCACTACACATCACAACGCTGCTGTGTTTCACCGAATTGCGAAATAAGAGAAATCTCTTGCTTATATACTTTCTGATTCAAGTTTCATTCTGAATGTCTGTCTGTTTCAGTTGATGACGAATACAGATAAGCACTGCTGTTCGTTACATGCTAACGAAAAAACGTGAAGTATGAACTTGTTTATTCACATTTTCATTTTTCTCGTTCGATAGAATTTGTTGATACTGGTGGAATGTAACGATTGCGATTTTGAGTTCGATTATCTGTGCAAGTTTATCACTTCGTTCATATTTGTTTCTATTCACTACCAAAATCCAAATAAGCCAAATTTAAGCATATCTCACCTAGAACTCACCGCTTGATTTTACCCAAATTTCGTTGCCCGTTACATACGCAAATGAATAGATATTGATTCGTTTACGGCGAATGCAATTGACAAACTATATCGCAACATGAAATGTATCTGAATGTTTCATAATGATCAATATTTTATCACTCTTTTGAATCATTCCATTTACTTCACACTTCAGCGAGTTTTTAAATCATTTATCACGCCAGGTTTAATCTACTTAGTTGCGCGTTTCTTATCTTATCACACTGAAACATTCCAACTACTGATAAAATTCGTCCATCAAGCGAGTTTCGATGGCGTACGAACTTATCAGTCTGAGTGTCGTATACAATATGTATACGTTTCCAGATTCACTTCTTATCATTATATCTAATTTATCTTATTTAAGATATTAAAGATTTTTTAAGTTTCTTATTTATCTTATGCGAGTTACTTATCGTTGCTACTCTCGCAAAAAATAACTTGCTTTCGAACACTTCTGAAACTGTCCAATCGTTGAAGCAATTTTTTCTGCCTTGTATGAACAACATCAATTAAAAAATCAATGAGCTCTAGGATGGTGCATTCAGCGATATTAGCAAAAAACGTTGTTCAACAAGTGTATTTATAATATATTTTAAAAGTGAAACAATTGAAAAACACTTGCAATCACTGAAAAATATCACTGACAATCATAAAGAAGGAACTTGTGTGAAGGAGCATTTGTAGAACGTATATTGTGCAATAAAAATTGTTGCACAGTTAAAAAATGCATTGTAAAGAATGACGAACAACATCGTCTATGTGCCGTCGATTCGTTTTAGTGGATTCGATTTTGGAAGTCGCATAATTTTGATGAATATAAGTGTCATCGAATAACACCAATTGCTTTATGAACAATTTGTTTGTTGCTGCACACCCTTCGTGCTAATGCACGTTTTTAAGTGGCTGCTAAAGTAAATTCCTTGAATAAGTTTATTTACTCGTACAATTACCAGCAGTTTTAGTCTGAATCAAGTTTGTGTGAAATTCGATGTTATCGATCGCTGTTCTGCACTGCGCTCTGCAAACCTGTTGTTAATGGAATACGGCCAGAAATTGATGAGAACAATTTCCCATTTGAAACATCGTATATGCGGGTGTGATAGGTTTTGCGCAGGTAAGGTTGTAGGCAGAATTTGCCGTGCGATTGGTACTCTTCAAATAATTACATCTCGCTATAGATCCACTCAAAAAGTTACTCTTCTAATGTTCAATACACCAGTTTTTACCGCACTATCGATTGTAGGTAGCACCAAATCATCAAATACCATCAGTACGTGAATCTTGTAACAGGTGCAGTGATACTGCTAAGATGTCGAACTCTCCGATTACATTTTCTCGAGGTGTGGGATTTGAGGCAAGAGGGTTATTCGTACTGCAATCGTTCGGGATTGAAGCTGCCCATGTCCAATGAACCTTTAAAGTTTAAGACCAGGGAGATATAGAAGGCTTCTCTTGGCGTATCCAATTCCACCTTCTTGCTAAGCTTTGTCTTCCCACTCAGGCTTACAGTCACTTGCGTTTTTTGTACAAAAAAATGATGAAATGTTTGAACTTCTCGCATTTGATGAAGTTTGCATTACTCATTTGAAAATATACAAGTGTTAGACTGGAGAGGTTTGAGGGAAAACAGTAAAAATATAAACAAAGATGAATTTCTCGTCACTACTCCGAAGTTTGTTATGCACATGTGATAGAATCCTAATTGCACCCGCGAATTAGTACTCATTTTGTTCTATATCGTCGCGAAAGTTCATCTCGTCTAACAAATATCACCGTAATCATGCAGACGTGCCACTGAGATAACAGTTTATATGGATGAATGACTTAAAACCCTCATCGTGGTCCTGAATATCACTCAGTTTGATTGTTTCTGTTGCAGTCCAAATCGATGTCAGAAAGTGACTCAAGATTGCCAAATCCAGTTTCATCCCAAAATGATGGGGACAGAGTCGATCACATGCCATATTACGCGCAGAATCATAATATTCATAACGTTGATATGCTTTTGCGGGATGACGAAGATAACGAAAACAGTCCTCTGCTCTACGGAGCAAGGTATGTGTAAATGAACTTCTCACCAAGTACAACTTGTTATTCATCTGTTTATCGAATGCAGCATTTTTTTTTGGATAAAAAGTCCATAACAAATTTTTATTAAACCTCTCATAAAACGAGATGCAATGTAGAGTGAAACGATGTTCATTTAAGTTCTCTTCCAACTGTTTTACTTGATGATGATCAATACTCAACGATGCAAATCGATCAGTCAGTGATGCCAAATACGTCGACTGTATCTGAAGGAGGCAGATTGATGAGTCGTGATCAGAAGAAACGCCGTCGTCCGAGAAGGAAACGATTAGTTAGTGATTCGGTGATAAGACCAACGATGAAAACGAGGTACGTTGCTGAATTGATTGCATGCTTTGCTTGCAGCGGCTTCATGGAACGCTGAAATTCATGACGTATCGATGAGTATTTGTGAGGACGAATCGATGAATCAGTAATTGTTGTATGAAAAGCGTTATCGCGGTAACGATCATCATGAGAATAATCAACTGAGGTTGTACGAATGGAGTAATCATAGGATGAATGGCTGCGAATGTTTGAGTATGTGATGGAATGATCAACTTAGTTATCTGATTATGTGGAAACAATTTTGAGAGTTCTTTTCTTCAAATGGTGATTTGAAAATCGACGAATTTCTGAATTCGAACCTGTAATGTAAAGATCTTGGATTTGATGTGAGCCTTAAGATTCAATAATTGACATCTGGAATTAATAAATTTTGAAATGAAGTTTTTTTTGAATTTTCAATAATTCGTTCAGCAATGTCTGTGAGCAATACCATCCATCATCAACTATAGGTTTCAATCGTATCGGCATTCTCATATTTTTCGTTCGAAAACAATCACCGAAATATCTGTGGTGAACTTACCGAGTGAACATTTTATTAATTAACATATATTGCCCAGACTCTTCCTCTTTCGACAGTTCCAATTCATTTGAAACATCCGTCCCGATCCCCTCAACCACCGCTCAAGCTTACCTTAACTTTGCGCTCGACGCTATTGGCACACAATCTCTCAGATTGCGCATCGTTGATAACAACTCACTGAACCTACGGTGATATCCTTAACTGCAACTAATTGACAACTTCTGCGAATTAATGGCAATCTGAACCGAAAGCTTGTCAAACGTTTTGACGAAAACATTTAATTCAGCGTTTTACCATCTCCTCTTTGTTGACATATCGACTTTTGTCGTCTCCTTTTTAATCGATTGAGTTTTTGTATGCCTCAATTTTGTTTCCATCTCGTTATTTGTTGTGTGTGTGCATTCATTTTCGAGGTAGCGTAAGACAGATTTGCATCGGTTGCCACAGAAATTCGGAGGCCCTCGAAAATCAGTGACCACCGACCGAAACCGAAAGCGACTGTTTTGTCGGTGGGTACCAAAAGTCGACTTTCAGTGACCATCCATCAAAAGTGAAATGACGTCTTCAGCGGTCACCGAAAATCGAGGGCCACCGACTGGAACCGAAAGGAACTGTTCGGTCGGTGGCAACCGGGGACCAACTTTCATCGCCAGCAATCGAAACCGAACTGGCCAACTTTGGGTGGCTACTGAATGAGACTGAAACTGACTGATTGATCGGCGTCTTCGGCAGATCGAACTTCGGTAGTCACCGAACGAAATCGATGGGTACTCAAAATTTACCTTTCCGCTGCCACCGAATTTCGGTGACCACCGACAGGGTATTCGATGGGGACAATCGAAAAATCTTTCGGTCCACCAAACTAGCATAAGACATGTCTGGTCCACCTTAATCGTATTGCGAAAAATGTCGTACTCCTCCTTCAATTTCTTTGCTCAACATATACGCATTGCAAATCTCGATCAGCTGAAACGACTGACAGCATGTTTCTTTGCGTATTTATTTGATTAGCGTGTTTATTAACATTCCTTCTTATTTATTTGATCAGTGTTTATTTGATCAGTGATGAGTGTTTATAAACAATATTTTCTTTCATGCAACACACTGGTTTCAACTGTTCACTAAGCCGACATATCAATCGCTCATAACTCGTGAAAGTTATTCTGTAATCGTTCTAGACTTTTGCTCAATACTTCGAGCGATTAAATGCATTAATTTGATCATTTGGTGCAATTTCAAATTGAAAGTGTGAGAATAAGTAAATAATCAAGATCCTTTTGATGTACTTGACAATCACAGTTCGTTCATTACGTGATGATACTCAATGATCATTGCCACTCACATGTAATCAGAAAACACTCTCCATCTCTTTATCACTTTAGATTTATAGTCAATTAATTGGTGAACCCGCACAAAATTTTACAATATGTTATTCACATGTTCTTATTAACAACGTGTCATTTTCCTCTTCAATTAGTGTGTTGCGGAGATTGCTGAATTTCGGAGACTCCGTCCTCAATTCCACGATCCCGACTTTTTTCGAGCCGCTCGCATTTTCGGGGTCCCCGACTGTGAAATTTTCTTCTCGACTTTCCCCGTCTCCGACATTTTTTCGTCTTCGCAACACACCAGCTTCAACCATTCCATTCCTTCATTCTCTATTGCGCGTCCACATTTTTTAAACTACGTAGGTTAGAGTTAGGAACCGACAGATTTTTGGTGAGAAATATTTTTTCGTAATTGCGGCATGCCTACTCAAAACTGTCATCTCTCTTTTCATCATTAGATCATGAATGGAACTGAGATTACGTTTACATTCAGTCAGTTCATTTCAAAGTAATATTTCAATGATCTGATCCAAAAAACACTTGATGCGTTCCGAGTAAAGTCAGAAAGTTAGACGAATGGTAAACTGGCAGCGGAAATATGTTGTTGTGGTTGTTTTTGTCGACACTGATTAGGGTATCGAACGGCATTCTTGTGTTGTCATAGAGGACTGAGAAACTCTGAATAGATTTGAATACCTATGAATCCTATCTGTGAGTGAATTTCGACGATTCAGTGATTGCAAGTATGAAGCAGTATTCAGATAATTCAAGAATGTTTAGCATTTTGGTACGATTCGAATCCTTTTCATAAGGTAAACGGCTTCAAATATTATACAACGAATGATCAAAAGTTTGCATCAGTCGAATAACTTATTCAACAATCAGCAATGGCACAGTTGCTGGTTTTGGACACGAATAAATTGCAAGATGATATTGAATTTATCGTGGACTGTAATTTTAATAATAAACTGAAGTGGATTTCGAAAAGTTGTGATGATATCACACTAAATCGAAATCAAACTCATAAAAGTAAATCCAATTTTCATCGATATTCACGAAGATCGACGTCGCAAAGGTAATTCTATTGTAGTGTCCAACTTGGGCCTGAGAAAGTTTGGGTTTGCGCATAGATCAGAAACGCAGATTAGTTTCAGTGATTTGTTAGCCCGACAATAACTTATTTTACGAACTTCAAACAAAGATAGTGAACACTACTGTTTACCCTTATGATCATACAATTGCTGAAGAGCAAATCTGAGTTTTCGTTAGTAGTGAAAGTTCACTTTCATATCCGATGGAAATACGTCAATAAAGCGGTAGTAAACCGAAAAGGAAGGAATTTTAATCAGCTGACGCATTGCCAGCGGCGTTTGTTGTGCACTAAACCTCTGCCCTCTTCGTCTCTATCAACGAACTTTGATTCAAAATCTGAACGTTTCAATCCAGAAAACTTATCCTTCACAATAATATTTCGAAAATTCGTAATTCAACAGAAATATTTCCGAGAACCTTCCATATTGTACAGGATCCGATGCAACTCAAAAACAAATGAATGTTTTCAGGCCCTTCATAGCTTCGCCGTTTATGCCAATTGCAACGCAAACATCGATTGATTTGAGTAGACGAGTAAGTGCAACGCAAGTTGGTAGTGCACCGCGAGAAAGGTACAGCTATGGAAGTATTTCTTACAAGAAATCACGCGTCCCTGATTCAGGTGCAAGTGATGAAGAAAGGTACTTTTTGCGTTCAATTTCCACGGACTCAATTATGCATGCAGTTGCGATCATTTTCATCTTGTTTTCTTACGAAATACAATTGCTGTGAATTGTATTTCGTAAGAAATGCGAACAGAATACTGTATTGACATTGTTGATTTGAGTATTGACGGAAACACCCGAACACATGAATGTGCGCTTGTTGTGTTGATAACATGTAAAGTATTCAATTCAGGCCAGATTCAAACGATCACGATCGAAAGGCCAATTCAGTTTATTCAGTTTCAAAGAAATGATTGTGCGAAACGTTATCAGCAAAAAAATTCATCGCTGAGCAGCTGAATGCTTGAATTTGCAGTGAATCAGAAGGAGAGGATGAAGATGAGGAGGAAGAGGCGTCGACGTTATCGAGTAATGAGACAATTCGATCGAAGTTGGCATCGCTATCACACAAGGATTGGATGACACTGTTCATGCTCGCGCTAGCCAACTTATGCAGTACGATTGCATTCAGCTGCATTGCACCCTTCTATCCCACTGAGGTCACCTGAATGCTGTCATTGCCATTTCTACTGGCTTTTTGCATAGTTCCTTCAACAGTGCAAACTTTGAAATCGACTGACTCCAATCAAATCCCCATCATTTGAAAAGATTTATGTTCGACAGCGAGTTTATTGCTGTCACACGGGTCATGTAAGTACCACCCGAAAGCAAACCAACGTTCTGCATTGACATTCAAATTGATCAGATCTTTTGCAAATAGAATGACTCAGTTCTGGATGATTGGGTCGGTTGAAATGGCGATTGAAGCACTAGTGCGACATTGAACCGCGAGTAATAAAGAATGAGCAAATGTTATGAATATATGAATTGCAGGCTCAACGAAAAGGTATGGATAATGCCCAAACGGGCATAGTCTTTGGAGTATTCGAATTGGTTATGTTCATCACGTCACCGATTTTTGGAAAATATGTTCGTCAGCATTATTTTTAGTGTTATTTTCGGTTATGTTAAGCGATCCTTGTTTCAATTTGTTGCAATCAGTTTCGATGTGCTCTTCAAACAAGCGACTGTTCACAGACTCACACTGTGAACTATCTGAACCGGTCGGTCATCATCAAAAACTTGTGTCGATTCAAGTGAAATCTTGAAGTGATGCAAAATGTTTGCAGATGATCTACATTGGCTCGAATACAATGTTCATAACTGGAGTTGCTATGACTGGTGTAACAGCAATTCTTTTTGGGTAGTAACTTCCATAGTTTGTTTTGTTATCTATCCAGTTCTCTTGAATCGCGCTTGCAACTTCCAGCTGGTGAACAGTTCTCTGAAACAGGCTGCTGAAATTCAATATTGCAACCGTAACAAATGAGCGAGGACTTTTTAACCGTGAACACCTTGAGAATTATTTATCGAGAATTCATGCTTCAGCTAAAGTTTTCCTACAAAATTTCGGAGGATCACTGTTTTTCGGCGATCATCAAATTTAAAATTCTACTTACAGAATCGATCATAGTGCAAAACAACATTTTTGATCCTTGCAATGCACTGAGAGGACGTAAAATAATGAATCACTGACGACGAATATATTGTAAATGAATAAAAATCAAAATTGTGATTAATTGCTTCGATTTCAGATTTCTGAATTATCTGCCATCAGGATCTCTATTCTTCTGGGCATCGCTAGGTATTCGAATTGCTGAATCGATTGCAGATACAGCTTTTGTGACATCTTCGTTTGCAATTGGTGCGAAGTGCTTCCCGGGTAAAATTGCAACGATTATTGTAAGTTTGTATAATGTATCTGTGTCTGTTGAGGAATTGCACTGACCAAATCCTTATGGGAATCAATACAAGTATATTTTGGGTTGTGAGAAATTCAGTTGGAGTTAGGCCCGTTCAACGAAACTGAATGAATATGTCCGTTTTCAGGGTGTTATGGAGACATTTGCGGGTCTCGGCTACACTGCTGGTCCTCCAATCGGAGGCCTTCTGTATGAAATTGGTGGTTTCCAACTGCCCTTTATCGTTTTGGGGGCTATCCTTATTACGGTTTCTATATTATCATATTTCTTGATCGAAAAATTCGAAGGTTGGATTTATGCTTCAGTGGTCTTTTATGCAAAAACATTTGTGTGACTTTGAGCAAATTAACATTTCTTGAATTCGACGAGTTATTAGATCGATCAGAAGTATGAGCCGAGAACAGGCATTATTTGGAAAGCAAAAAATCAATCATCAATAAGTGGTTCTGAAAGCGTCAACATGACGTTCTCTTGAAATAGTTACAAAAGCGTGTTGAACAATACTGTAATTTCACTGGTTCAGATGAGCCAATTGACGACGAAAAGGGAATGTTAGGCATGCTTCGCATTCCAGCCATATGGATTGTGGTGTATGCAGTTGTCATTTGTGCGATGTCATTATCATTTCTCGACCCAACCTTAGCCAATCACCTCGAATCGGTAAGATATTCATCTTGTCACTATACTCATATATACTTCACAGTATCTGGTTGCCATATCATTCCAGCGTTAATTTCGAGCGCTATATTCTATCATTGTATGTTTAAAAAAATCTTTAGACGTCACCTTCTTACCACTCATACTGTTAAGAGTTGTTGGCCTTGTGTGTTACGATATTCATGAACTATGTCATCCAATTAATGATTTTATCGCAGCTAAGCGAAACTTTGCGATTGTTCAGTTTTAAGGGAAGAATAGAACGAAATGTAAATTACATCTTCACACATTCATTCATTTTTCTATTTGCTGAGACTCCATATGCCTGGTTTGACTATTGAATGAGTAATCAAACATTTCAGTCACTTCGGAATTCGTTCAATTTCAGTTCAATTTGACACCAACATTTGTTGGATTGATGTTCCTTTTATGCGGTGGTATATACACAATCACAGCGCCTTTGTGGGGTTTACTAATTGATCAGTATGATTGTAAGAAAACGATAATGTTATTTGGATCGGTGGCAACTGTTTTTGCGATGATGGTCATCGGACCGTCACCACTACTCAATTTGGATAAGTTGGTGACTTGGATTTTATTGATTACGATGATCAAGAGAACAAATCATATTTTTCAATGAGAGCCTCAAACGTTCTCGCTTCACTCCTTTCGATCTATTTAATTTTTTGTGCTGACATTCGTGCTCATATGAAGTTCGTTCAATTCGGTTAATGTTTACAGAAGTTTAATATGGATCGGGATAGCACTTGGACTCCTTGGCATCGCCGAAGGTGCTATGTACATTCCTACATTCCAGAGCTGTTTGGATGCTGTGCGGTTAGCAAAACTTCTTTGTTTAAGTATCTGATGCAGAAACTCCTCAAGACTTTTTCATTTCATGAATTCATTTTAAAAACATTTCTAATAAAAATTCACTCTATTTATTCGAAGCTCAAATACTTTAATTCGGTAGAAACTTTTGTACTTTCACTTCTTAACTTCTTGATCCGTTTTCAGAGAAGCTGGTTACGAGGATTCTTTTCAAACATATGGCTGTGTTTCGGGCGTATTTCAATCTGCCTTTGCATTTGGGTAAGTCGATAAGATTTTTAATGTCTACCTTGCGATTTATGAGTGTGGCGAAGAAATTATTTTCAAGATTCCGGGGTATGATTGAGATTAGCGTGACTGATACGCTTATTCCATCCATAATTTGGTTGTTTCTTTGTCGAAGTCATTTGACTGGTCGATACCTGTATTTGATTCTGATCGTCATGTGAATTGCAGTTCGTTTTTTGGACCAACAATAGGTGGTTTTAGTGTAGAATGGATTGGTTTCGAATGGACAACCACCATAATCGCAATCGTTCACGTCGTTTTCGTAAGTTGATCGCATACTTAATCTTATGACTGATCGTCATAAATGACTCTAAGATGTCAAATTGCAAATTTCATTGAATGCTTCTCATCGTGACTAAAATCTTTTCTCAACTAAGCAGTTTTCATGAAGCGTTGCTCATCTTAAATAGTGTAACATGGATGTCAGGAATATTATTGAAGGAATTGAGCAAACATTGAATGCGTTTAAGATCCAATTGAGTTGATTTAATTTCGATTTCAGATTATCATGCTGACGCTATTCACTGTGATTCGGAGGTGTTTCCCCACATTTCTCTCAACAAACGATTCATCAAGTCCAAACGCCTGAAACGCGTGCCTTTCAAGTTGTCCTACTTCACTTTCCCCCGATTTTTCATTTCACTTTGCTCATTTTATAGTTCCTACTCCTATCTCATAAGTATCAATTTTTTTTCACAATTTCACCTCGACAGTTTGTCAAACATTGAATTGCATTTGTATATTTGTATGGTATCAAAGTCAAAAACATTTATCACAAAATGTTTGTCTGTTAAAGCACATTTGAACAAAAATGCAGTTCAGAGATGTCTGAACTTTCAATCAACGAGTAGATTACGGAGTAACACCGAAAGGCACTCAATAAACATTTGTCGGCTCTAACGAAACTCTCTTAAACCTGAATGTTGTGAACCGATGAAGAATATGAAAATCCGACACAAACATCAAATAGCGTTTGTTGGTACTGAAAATTTTGTGTTCAGCGAACGAAGCATTTTTTGACTGGAATAGAAACATTTCACGATAGGTTATCGCAAATAATGAATGTATCACGCCGCATTCTTAAAATGCTTGTCGAACAATATTCGTCGGCTCTAACGAAATACTCTCTTTTGGTTCGATAACCTCTTCCTTTTCTTCCTCCTCCATCACATTGAGACCACTCGCGTGATAGACCACGTATAGATCAGTGAGTACCGAAATTGAACGAATTACCACGAAGAGTGCATGAACTCTTATACGTAGTTTTGCTGGATCGTATATGGCACATGAGCCCTTAAACCAATAACGGCTAATATGAGTAACATTATGAGTCATCTCAACGCTTGAAGTGCAAGTTTCCATGCAAGTATTTATCGAGAAATGATTTAACAGTTTAACTAGATCCGCCGAATGAGAGTTATTATAGCTGTGGGCTTGTTCATCCACTTCGAATAAACTGCTCGGCTCTTGTAAAAATTAAGGCATGCTCATGTGGTGCGATTTCATTGGTGTAATCCGAACTGACTGTTATGAATAGAACTTGAAGTTGGCAAACTCACCGAAATACCAGGGCACGTATAGTTCCACACCAAGCATGCACTATCGAATATTGCTCCCCAAAGCAAAGGAGATGGCAGAGTTGCTAATAAGCTGACGAATAGACCTTGCAGACCTAAGGCAATGCTTCGATCTGTGGGTGGAACAGACCTCAAATTTAGACCATTATAGTGATTTAGCAATGAGGATGGTTCCATGTTTGAGTGCGATATTCTAGTTTCAGCAAAATGCTCATTGCTTAATCTTTTCTATTAAAATCTTTTAAACGTCCATCTGATTCAACTGAAGAATGTGGAATATGAAGTCGATGCGATGATCTGTGGTGAAGAAAGAAGTGTAAGGATTTGTTTGCAAAGTGTGGATATGAACGAACCTCAGTAAAATAAGCATGCCTGGAACAATTCCATTGCCTCCAATGAACCCACCAATCATAACGGTTATGAAGTACACAATGACCACTGGCGTGCAGTTATCCTTACAATAGGTTTTTGATAATATCTCGCCTGGACTGCAATCGCATGACGAGAATTCGGGAATGTGTGATGACTTATCCTTCACTATCACCTGTATCAACATGAATTTATCGAATATTCTTGATGAAATGGAACAGCTCCACAAATAAAAATGAAAAACTGGCCACTTTTCGTAACGAATGAGATTTCGAGTGGAAGTAAGACGAGAAACTGACTCACTTCACGACATCCAGCATGACATGGTGAGAAATACGTGTATCCCTCACTGTCACACACCGGGAACAACGCTGCAGATTCGCATCCACAATTTGCATTGCATTCGCTTGTATAATTGAAATTCGTGATCCTACAAGTCGACTACAATCGTATTGTATTATGCGATCTTGCAACAAGCTCAAAGTTGTTGACATCATTGGAGTGGCCAAAAATGCCCGTCTTAGGTAAAAAGATAATGCATTTCGCTGAATTAATGCTATTTTTCATCTCCCCGTGCTACACAGCTCTTTTGCATCGCATCTCAGTAATTTTTTAACGCGTGAATACCTGAAAATGGAAGTGCACACAACTCGGTAATTGATTTTCAAAGATGATCATTATTCGCATTTATGATTGCAACTCTCATTCTATTCAGATGTAAAATACGAATCTAATAGGCAATAAAATGCATACATGCCATTCAATCCGACACGATTTACAGTCGACTCACATCCCAAAAAAGCTTTGATCATGAATGCTAAAACATTTAGTGCCGATATGAAAAAAACAAATGCAGCAATACGACGACCATTTAACTTCAATTTTCTCGTTATGAATCCACCACTCACTGTACCCAACGCAAAACCGGACACGCCGAACAATGCTGAATAATAAATTCCTCATCGGAATCAGAATCAATGAAAAAGTAATTCTGTAATAAAATATATCAGCAAGGAATTAGTTTAAGACTCAACATTTCGAACGGTAAACCAGTCTAGATAGGTGAATTGCTTGCAATTAATTGCCAAGTTTTCAGTCTTTTTTGTTGGTTTCATTAGATTGCTTCCAACAGATGAACGGATTTTTAGGAAACTTACTTAAGTAAGGTATGTGAACAAACGGGTAGAAGACGAGGAAGATGAGAGTCAAATGAAATACCCATAAATTGATGTGCCTTGTATTGAGGCAAACCATAATGATTTTCCAAATATTTCGGCAGAAAAACGAAGTAACCACGCATTGCGAGCAAATCAACCACACGGCCAGCCACGGAACCAAGATACACTTTTGACTTTATTATTTCTAGATAAGATGCACGAAATGCTGAAAATTTTGCTGGGTTTGGTAATGAACGCACGCATTCTTTTGCAACTTGAAGATTAATTTTCGATCGGTGCTTTATCTATCCAACTGGAGACGATATGAAAACGATAGTTATTATAATCTCCTGTTTGTAAAGTGACTCATTCATTCTACGATGAGCATTTCAAACAAGAATTTACGTGCATTTAGCAGACTCAGTTCATCGAGATATTCGACCTGTACTTGAGATCTAACAAACACGTTGATAGAATGAAGAATTTTATTGCGTTACGTAATCCGCGAACTTTTTAGGGCAAGAGAACTTTTTGATCGGAGTGCATCACTTGAATTTTTCGTAATCATAATTTTATCACATCTTAAAAATGTGAACAATTCAGTGAATGCGAATTTAGTGCAACGTACCGTTGAACTTTTCCTCAGCAGTTAAATGTTGCCCTTCATCATTATGTTTATCAAAGAATGCAAGTTCTCCTTCAGCCTTGTTTTTGGTATTCACCGCATCGCTCAACCGTTCAGGTGAACTTACATCATCGGGTGCAATTTGAGACTGCTTCCCCCTTGAGACATTCATCATTGACATTAATGATATGCCATAATCAGCACAATTGAAAAACGTACTTCATGATTAATTGTTCGGAATGGTTCTACATTAATGTTCGCCATCAAGCTAACTCATAGAACCACCCAATCAATTTGATAACTGAATAAAGTCCTGTTCCAATTATATGAAATTAAGTTGTTGAGGAAGTTCGGTACTTACTTGGTTGGGAAAAAAAAGAGTGCAAATGAAGGTACTGTGAAGGAGATTCCAACAATCAAAAAACCAAGCCACCATGCGCCAATCCATGTGGGATCGCTTGCAGTTAGACCAGGAGGTGCTGAAGTTTGTTTATTTTATGGTAAAACCAAAATAACAAGATTATAATATCATAGTCATATCCCCACTCTTACTTAGACATAATTCTTTCATCGACACCATGAAGTACCAGTCATGACATATTTTTTTCACTTCTAAAAACTGCCACTCTGCTGTGGTGGAAATTGGAATGTATAACTTTTCATTACTGGTTCACTACCCTCGAGCGCACAATTATGGAAATGTTCCATGTGCTTGTATGGAAATGTTGCAGCATTCACTTTTACAAACTCCCAATAATAAAACAGTGCGAGTGTAAGTGTGAACAATCGATGGATTACACAACTGATGATATGCGTAAACACGTTCATGGTAATGCGTGTAATTACGCGATAATTATTTACAAATGAAACATATTTTCGATGATGCCTGATGGCAGCGATTTATAATCGAATAAGCAAAAAACGAAGTTACTAGCAAAATGCGCTAAGAGTGAAACCGTATGAGAAGAAAAGAAGCATGCATAAATTTCGTTGAACGGAACTGTCGTAGAAAATATTACTATGAAGCAATTGAAATCATTATGCATAGTTATAAATCACATCAGTGGCAAAACGCAGTGTCATCACGACAGATCGTAGTCTGGTCGTGATTTTAGCAGAATTTTGATGAGCAGTTTGCTGCGGAACCGGCTTTTGTTTGAATTTATGTCGGTGAGTTGAAAGTTGACCTTCCATTGCTTTGTGTAAAGCTAGTCAAGTAAAAAATTCATGTAAAATAAGCTAATCGAACAAGATTTTTCGCAGATTTGAGTAAGCAACAGATCGATTCTTCTCCAATTGTCCACTAAGTTAAAACTAATGAAATATTGATGTAAGATCGACATTGATGAAATAAGCATGATGTTAGAGCGCTCTGCCTTTCATGTTGTATTATTACTTGTATATACATTTTTACTCGGCAATAAATCCTTCAATCAATCGAACAATAAATAATTCCCAACTAACTTCATTCCACTAAAATAATCAAAAACAAATAATCAGGTCAATTCACTTACGCTTGAGTGTGTAATAGAGCTTGTTGCAAAAGCTTCCAATCAATAAGCCCGCAATTGGTCCAAGAATTCGAATGAACGAAATTCCAGCTAAGCAAATTAAAATTATTTTTCACTGCACCATTGTCAAAAAGGAATCTCACTTCTTGGGTGCACGGTTAATGAATCGTTTGGAAGTAAACGATCGAGAACGCTCAACAGCTCTCTGTAACCAAACCCAAAAAACTGGATTATCATTCCAGGTCTCATTCGCTGAAGGGAACAAACGTAAGAACAAAATGTTCGGTGAATCCGAGAAATTTGAGTTGATGTCAAATCAGACGGTCGATTGCTGTAACATGGGTTATTGAGAACGTAGAATGCAAGAATTACCGAAGTAAGACGGTATACTCTTTCGTTTAACACTGTCATCGATCATCGGAACACCTAGTGACCATGGCATTGTTCGGCCAACACCAAGAAGAATCAGTGCAGCTATCATAATGAGTAAGGGTGCGAAATTGGATAGGTTTCGTTCGCATTTCGTTTGCTGAAATATTATCATAAATATTCATCGGAAATACAGTACTGAATAGGAATTTCTACATAACTGTCGGATTTTTTCAAACATCACATTCACTCCGAGTTATTCTTTCATGTGCTCCCTTGATCCATCGCTCTGAACCATTCTTTACCCATCAAGCACATGTTTTCTATCTTTGACTCGTATGTAGCTTTCTAATATATTTGATCTTGGCTGTTTATAGAGGAATACAATCGGAAACAAATCATCATATTCTAGGTATCCTTAGCAGTAAAATCTGCCAACTACTGTAAACTACTGCTCTGGAATTTATCCGTGGCGATAGTCAAATATTGACCAAATACGGTAACCGTCTTGATTGATTGCTTGCACTGGAAATGTTAAGAGAAATTTGAGCAGCCAAGATGTGACGTTGTTGTTTGAATGAATGATATCACCTTGATAATTTGTCGAAATTCATTGATAAGTTTACTGCAGAACGAGAATGGTGCAAGGGCAATTCTCTTTGCGTTCATCACATCCTCATCAGAATTATTCAAACGATTATTCACATACATGATTAACAATTGCTTGAGCTGCCCATCATCCTCAGTATCTCTCAGAATTTTATTCAAGTTTTTCATGATCTGAAAACTTGATCTCATTGTGAAGTTAATATGATGAAGTTAATATCCAAAGAATTGAACTTGCAATTTGATTCACAATAAACACTGCTACAGTATGCTCGAGTAGGTCGGAATAAGGTTGTGACTATAAAACCGAAGAGTTTCATTACGATATCTGCATAGGATGAGCTGAACTCTTTTGGTCGCATCTGGAATACAACTATAGGCAATTGCCATTTTCATTAACAACTAGATTAGCCGTAAATCTGAACAGTTTTGATTGTAGGTCAGGTTTATTTTTGATGAACACACTAAATTGTGTTCAATGAAATTGAAATATTTTCGCCTAATGCAGCAGGAATTATCGATGAGAAACAAACTTTTGCTAGGAGTGTTCCATCAATTGAATAAATATCTTCATTTGTGATGTTCATTGCTGCAGACTTGATATCGCTGACGGAACTGCCTGTAGAATTTTGAATGCGGTGAAGTTTCAGTTGGTGAGTTCGACTGGTAAAATGAATGAATAATTGGTTCTTGATAGAATCCGACAAACGATCATCAATTAATGCATAATGCAGATAATCAGAGATTGTTGCTTCCGGTGATAGCAATAGATCGGACGGCTTGATTCTTAGCTGCAACAGTTTTGGCTTGAAAAGCTTCGAATTTGTTTGTATCAGCATAGCCAAACTATAGCCTTCAATGAGTGATGTTGGACGAGTAATTCAAAATTGAACTTTGCAATTATATTTGGCAGATTTGGTTTGCTCTTTTGCCAATCTTACAATTAGTTAACATTTTTGCTTANTTAGATTGCATTCAAACGCACGTGAAAGGGAATAAACTTGAAAGTGAACTTCTATGGAGGTCGTATTGAGCTGCGGTTGTTTTGTTGGGAATAGAAAGTTTGGAGATGCGATCAAAATAAACGAGAATGCAGTCAAAATCGTTCCAGCACCTATCCACTTGGCTCGATTCCCTTTCGAACCAAAATATGCAATGAGCATCACCGTCGGAATATATCCGAAGTCGCCTACAATTCATTATCCAGATATTCTCAATTTTTGAAAATGTGAAGAATCTTCTAATAGGAATGCTTTCTTCTCCGTCATAATACAAACCTTTGATAAGGTAACCTCTGAGATGTGATAAATATTTCTGTTTCACGTTCCTTCAATCGAAGAATGTTAAAAGGGTTGAAGAAATTCAATTCAATTTTCAGTGAATGCTTCATTGCATCAATTATGTAACGTTCGCTGATGAGCATGTGCACTTTTTGCTTGATTAGTTTCATTTCATTTTGTATTCCAACATTGATTTGCTTCTCAATCACAAACAAAGTTATCATTAACCGATTATGTGCGGACACTTCATATTAGCTATATGATTTTTATAACTGGTCTATCTTTGATCAGTTAGGTGCAGTGAGAAATAGGTTCAGATTTGAAGGCTGATGTGAAAAATACCCTTCAGGTAGAGCACACTCACTTGCACTAACCATGAAACCAGAAAGCTTTGAAGGTATTTGAAATTGACGTTCAATACTCTGTATTGCAGACATCATGTAAGTGCTACCAATAGCCTCTAAGAAAAGAACGACCGAAAAGAGTATCAAGAATACATAAACACGCCGCATCGTTAGATGAACTTCTGAAAGAAAGTCTACCAAAAATGCATTATCGCAAAACCGCCATATTATTTCGGATAACACGTACAATACATGCTGAATGCACATTTTCGATGTATTGTAGTGAGTGAAAAGCGAAATTTGGTGAGTATGAATTCTGCAGCAATGTCAATGTTACCAGTGCAAATCGTTCACGCAAATCTAAAAAATATACACACAGGAATTGACAAAAGTTACTAGAATGACTCATTTCAGAATACAAACATTCGGATGTGGCCATGCTTATGTTGAACATGGAAAATGTAACAATGTAAACGATAATTGCAAAGATTTGGTTCTGCACATCCACATAATTCAGTTCTTCCCTTATTTACGAGCTGACTAGGACAGAGACTTCAAATACTGATGAACCTGACTGCTGGCTTGATTTAACGAAACTTTTTGTTAGTCATTCAGGGTTTTACGTGAGGAACAAATACTGCTCAAGTAATGACATCAATGTAATTAGTGAGCATCTAGCTACCAATGATATTGTATACTGTATTGATCTCGAATCAGGAAAGTTTGCGAATGTCCTACAGAAGAGTTGAGGTGGTCGACCACAACGGCTGAATGGAGTGTAATTGCAAGCAAGCAACTAAACTTGAAAAATTTTCAATAACAATTGTTTAACAATAAGATTAGTAAAAGACCCTTGGTTGATAAATATGTGCATACGAAGGAATTTCTTGAGCAATCAATTGAAAAACATATTTCTGTAATTGTTNATGTTTCAAAAGGCTTGTGTTCTATCAATTATTTCCGTTTTACGACGTGTCCACCCACGGTTTGGCTTCCAAAGCATCATCGTTCTTCAAAACTTTTCAAGCGTACTTCGTAAATGAAATATCGTCAGGACATTTTTCAAAAAAAGAGAAATTATTAACGTTATCATCAACTGCGGTTTTTTAAGGCGAAAAATGTCTCAACGAATCGCAAGAGAGTTCTTCTGCGATCATTGAAAACATTTATGCGTTTGAATAAAAAACATGCGCATGGATTACAGTAGGCTACTGGAATCATGCGTAACAATTAAGCTCGAAACTGATGTGTTCAACTGAACTGAAAACTCAAATAAGTGAGTCACGAAATGATGACAGCCGTTAAATTTCCTGTTTGGACTTCCTCAATACTGTCGGTGATTTTTAACGATGATAACCGACTGCAGTTCCGTCAGTTTGCGAAATTTGGATTTTGACCAATGAATTTCGAAGTTCGGACGGAATACCGAATTTCGGAATCTTAAACAGTCGATCCAATTTCGGCTGAACCAAGATTTCTTTCGGTAACCATCACTATTGATTCTGGGAAATGCGTCGTGATCATCTGTTGACGCACTGATCAAGAAAGCAGACACAACACGATAACAATTGACGGATGAAGTATACCCGAATCACTTGTTCTGAAATTCAATTCAGTTGGATCTACCGCGCGCAACTCATTTCAAGGCAACAAAATTTCTCAACACAACTCAGTTCAAGTTGGATTTGTTGATTAAATAAATAAATCACACATTCTGAAAGTTAGTAGTTGGTGGCGTATGGCTGGAAAAGAACTACATCCGCTCTTTGAATTGAGCTCACGTTCCATTTTCACTCCATAGTTAACATGGTTCATAGATCTCAACTTAGGTTCAAATCAAACTCAGGATCAGTTCATTTTGTCAAAACCATCTTCGTACAATCAAATGCTACCGGTGCAGAAAGGGAAAACATGAATGTTTCCAAAGAGCTCATAACTGAATGGAAAATGCTTAGTTTTCATCAGTTTGGAGTTGAATTCATTCAGTGATGTCAAGTAACAAGTGAACGACACCAAGTATCAACGAGCACAAACCAGCTACGGCAATCAAAACACTCAAATGAAACATATAAAAAGAGCGCTTTACAATCGCCAATCGAATTGTTCGTTTCAAGAGCACTCTGAGCACTTCTTTCCTGATGGTTGCACGCAATTGAACTCGTTCAAAACTCTATGAACAGATTTTCTATCAATTAAAAATTGAATGCAACAAACGCAACGTACGAACAATTCAACCGTACGTACGTTAAATTCAATCGATCTGCTGTGTACAAGAAAGAGATCGGAGAAATTTTCCTTAAAAAGAGTTCGATAACCTGTTTGATATTTGATAGCTGAAAATAATGAGCGATACTTGTGCGATGTGAGATCGATTAATGCCTTCTGACGACATTGTCAACTATTCAAAAACTCATTCAATTAGAACGTCAATATTTACTGATTTCTCATATTCACATACCAATTATAAAATTAAATGCAAGGCAACTAAACGGTGAAATTTAACGAGGTCAGATTCCAGATGACACTGAGACGAGAGAAATGCAAGATGATAGAAGTAAGCATATGCTCAGATTAGACTGCGTCAATATTTCGAGCGAAGCATGATTTAAGAAGTGCCGTACTTGAACCACGGTGTCATATTCATTGAACAGAATAACTGTGAACACAATTCGCGGAACACAACTCGCTGAACAGCCTGAATGGAAATCATTTCTACTCGGCAAAAACTTTCATTCATTCAGTGAACAGCCAATCAGCCACTGCGAATGAATTTATGTCTCATTTTGTCATTTCATCACAAATAAATTACAACAAGCATGTCAAAATAACTTCAGTGCATGATGCAGGTTAATTTGAATGACTTCCGCAAAACGCGAACATTACGATGAAGAAACCAGAAATTTGCCAATCGAAATGAATTTCATTTCTTTTGTTGTAAGAATTTGTTTTCAACAATAGATAATAGAAACGAGGAACCGTGACAACACGATATCTACTTGTTTAGGCATTCAGTCAGGGGCAACTTCAGTTCAGTACATAAGAAGAATTAGAATTGCACGCAAAAGAAAATAATGTGACCAAATTGTTGCTGTCACCGCCTACGTGACATCCTCCTGCAGTGTAACATTCAATATTACAAAACTGGAGCGATGTAAAACTAAAGTGATGTGGTATATATGTAAAATTTGTCATTTTATTTGTCGCAGCCGACATTTACGAAATGCTCATTAACACATTGTTGTTGCGTCGAAATGCATTCCAGTACGGTAGAGCAATTATCAACTGACGATATGGAAGCCAAAAAAACTAAAAACTAAAAAAACGAGATGGGATGAGCCGCTCGTGAATCTACTCGGTGAACACTACAAAAGACTTGCATGGAACAGAGACGCGTAGAACTCTTTAGACATGCGTTCTCACAGGAAACGATGACAGGTCACAAGGTGACCGCAAGGCAAGGCTATATAAAAGCATCGAATGAACGTTATAAATAGTAATTTTAAATGAATGCAGTTTCCAAAACAGTTGCAAGTCATATCCTTTGTTTAATGCATTTATCAATTGCAATGCTGAAAACCTTTCAGTACATACCAATTATTCAAAATCATATTGATACATCACACTTTGAGTTACTCTTGAGAATGCTTTGGCAATGCTCAATTTATTAACAAGAAAGAACAGCTTCTCTGTATCAAAAAGGGAACTAAATTCCCTAACACTACACACATTTGCTAATTTGAAAACGTTTTGTTAAGTCTCTTCACAGAATCTTGTCTTAGCTGATACTCTGAGCGAGGATAATCAAAATGAAAAGAAACCTTGCCAAAAGTTTTTGCATCAAGTCGGTGGGCGAACGGAGGCTAACAGGATCATCAAAACCATTGAGAATATCATATGGTCATTGCTGTGTGAATTCGGCGAACAGCTCAGACTGATGTAGTCAGATAATTGTGTTGTTGATTTTAATTGATTGCTCATTGATCAGTTCGTAAATGGAGCGACATGAATATATTCAACAATTGCCAATCATAAAAATTTGTCTATATTCATTCAAAGATACTAGGTGGAATGTAATTAAGCAGATGGAATTTTCCGGAGTACTCGGTAAGTTTCGCTTGGCCTTTCATCACAATTCATCACTCAATAAGATTTCAAAATTATACGAGCGCCTAAAGGGATTTGCACACTCTATATGAGGTGACATTAATGGGTTTTGCACCGTGTATATGAGGCGCAAAACAATACTCACTCACAGTTCTGTCCAAACTGAACAATAGAAGCATTGCAATATTTTATTTTCATAGAACAATCAATTGAACATAACCAATATTTTATAGAACATCATCAGAACCCATCAAATATTTTACCGAAAAATAACCAAGAATGAAGGACAGTTTTCACTGATAAGCAACCCTCGAATTTCACTGATCAATCTCAACGTAACTCCACATCGAACATCAACGAAACGTCCTAACCAAATAAGAAATTATTATAAAACAAACTATCACAGCAGACAGACAATGCGCACAGAAATGAGAAACAACACTGCAAATGAACAACAAATCCACTCGTCTGTTCTTCATCACCTTTCTTAAATATATTCTTAATCCCCCATACATTTCAGAACATTTCCTCATTGCTGAATCTTCCATCTAATTAACATAAGCGCACTAATTTTCGTAGAAGTATTTACGGATAGTTTAAATCAATGAATCCAATGAAGTAATCATCTAATTTGTCCTCAACTATAACAAAATCCCACGTGCGTTCACATTTCATCACATTCATTCTTTGTCTTAAAGTCTCCCTTCTAAGTTTCAGCAGAAAAACGTGTCCATCGTGACGGTACCAAATTTTAATTCAACAGCTAATCACCCTTCTCGAAAACAACTGAGAGTTTCTTACCAATGTTTCTTCTTGGTTGAAACAAACAGATGTTTTTTGCTAAAATATAAATCCCTTCAAATAAATTGAATAAACCGTTTCGAAATTCAACGAGATTTTCGACCTCAACAAATTAAATATTGTACAATGCGAATGATAATACGAAAGGATATTTGAAAAAGCAATTGTTAAAAAAATAAAGACGAAAGCTGCGTATTTGTATGGCATCTGCTCAGTCAGCAATCCATATATGCACTTTTTATCCACATCGCATCAANTAATTTTTATGGAATAAAACCCACATCAACTTATATGTCGTCATCATCATTACTGCTCCATTTTGCAAATTCTATGAAAGATTTGAGAATTTGGCATTACACTGACTGCTTCGAAACATTTACTGCAGACGATCAATTAATTTTATGAAAGATGAAATCCACAAAAATAGTGCTACCTATGATGCACTCATTCAAAAGTATTTTTGGAACAGTTTTTGAAGAGCAGTAAATATGAGTTGGAGTGTGAAAATGGAGCAGATAATAATACATGAAGAATCATGATAAACCACGTAACTAACATAAAAACGTAACGCTGATGTTTTTAGTATGAAAAAATAGCATTCTCACAACATGAAGTTATCAAAACACGTTGAAAATTTTGACGGTGAGTACAAATTAGAATATCCACAAGTATGAATCATTCAAACGACACGTTCATCTCCCTATTCTGCGACTTCGTTTATCTCGTTTGGTCAACTTATCGCACAACAAAACAACTGCATCAACGCGTTTGGCTGTTCGACAGAAATGGATTAACGGCAAATCGACCAAGAATGATACAGTTCATTTGAAACTCGATAAGCAAGATCAGAACAGAGAGATTTGAAATAAACAAAACAAATAAGATGGTATGGGATCAGAGCGTAGAATTGTAGCTCTGATTTGATGCATTTTTAGCTTATTGGGAACATTACGTCTCTAATCATCTTGTTGAGACAATGTTGCTCGATTCACAAGAATAGATCATGCGTACGAAACGAAAGCAGATAAAACAAATGACCATGTAAGATGTTCGCTAAAACAGCAACTAAAATAGTTATATATATACACACACGCAGACGTAGATCACGGCAGGACCCAACTGCCGTTTCAATCCTCATCATCTAGAAGATTACTTCGCAGCAGTATTCGTACTGCTCGTAGAACTGCTTAAATTGACAGCCATTGAATTGAGTGTTGAAGACAACTGGCTTGTAGTGGTGATATCAGTAGCACTCGGCATAGAAGTTGACGTGATTTGGTTAGAATTCGAATCAGTTGCAGTCGAGGTGTTAGGCACAGGTATAACACCAACTGACGATTGCAGTTCATCGGATGCCACTTGCCCTAACTGAAAGGGATGTGTAGTCAACGGCGTCGCGTTCACAACTACTGGCTGTAATGTGTAAGAAGTGAATGACAAGCGAAACAGAATATAACTATTAAAATGGAGATGTGATGAAAACACCTATTGATGCAAGTAATTATTCATCATGGAATGCGAATAAATAAGTGTGACTCATATATTCGCATTCGTATCATTCATCAATTTCAAGTGCTTATTATGAACCATTCGTGAAGCTTTAATAAAACTCGTCTACATGACGGACAAAATCAAATTTTCGCATTTTCAGTCATCTTGTGCACACAGGCGAACACATTATTTCGAAATATTCAATTACTTTGTCATCGTATATGAACAGCCAATCATAAAAAAGGCACATTTGTGGGTAGAACCAATGATTTTTCACTCGCAACCCCTTCACTTGATCAATTTTAACGTGAATCTAGTTTTCAAATACGACCCCCACTTTGAAACGTTCCACACGTTACGTTATTACCTATTTAGTAAAAATCCCTGTTGCCAAATTTTTAATGACCTTCTAGATCAGTTACACAACTCCCCTCGGGACCATTACGCAGAGTTCAAGAACTGTTGAAGTGAACAAAAATAGAGTAGTAATTGTGTGTTATCAGCATTACCTGCGCACTAGATATGACCGGTGGCACTAGAGATGTACCCGAAACAGGTGGTAGAGTGACAATTTGAGCTTGTTGCTGGAGCTGTTGTAATTGCTTCTGCTGCTGTGCATTCTGCACAAGAAGCGCTAGATTGGCTACTACTTCAGCAGGCGCAAATTGCTTCAAAACTTGATTTTGACTCTCCAATTGTGCAACCTGAAGTGATATACAAGTATAATTCATGCAAAAAGCGTCCCAAACGCATTTCTGGATATGAAAAATTCGCACCAAGCACATTTCGTTTCCGTGGATAAAGTGGTAAAACACGTGAGAAGGCACGATCATAAGTGCTCCAGGAAGGCAGTTTGCAAAACGGATACTGTAGAATCTACTAGAGTGGATTGTCAATACCGAAGATATTTACTGACGATGTTGCCATCTGGATTTGATAGAATTCAAGAAGTATTTCAAAAGAAGGACGACAGAACTGACAGGTTTAGGACTTTAAAAAATCAGTGCCAACTTAGGGAGCAAATTAGATTAAATTAATGCAACTTGAAATTAAAACCAATCAGAGCGCATACTTTCGCTTCCAGTTCGACAATCGTTGAACGCAGTAATTCAACCTCCTCACGAACAGCGAATGTTAAATGTGTTTTGACTAAATCCTGAAATGGAAAGTACCACAAGAGTTGACATCATGAATTTTCAACTCTTTGAGAAAGCAGCAAACAACATTCTCATTAATATTCATCAAAACAATTAGATGCCCATATTTGATTAGATAAAAATCATGATGTTCAGAGCATAAATCCGTTTATCTCTGAACAAAAGCAGTATATCAAGGCGGATTTGTGGTATCCAACCGTTCTCGACCATTAATAATTTGCGATATTCTTTCCTTCCATATCAGAGGCTTCAGCAGATATATTATTTTCGATCGAAAAAACACATGTAGTTCGAGCGCGGTATGTTCAATTGTTATGTGATCTTTTGAATTTCAAATAATCATCAAGAGCACAACATTGCTGATGATTGTGTACTTATCGTTTGATGAAGTAACAATAAAATAAATCGACATTTGAAACGTCCATACAACTTTTTGAAGAACACAGAACGGCAAGGTCACTCACCATAGCCTGCTCAATTTTATTATCAATTGCAACCACATTCGGTCCTCCAGGAAGATTGCCTGTTGCTAGACTGAAAGTTCGTCAACGACTACAGAATGTAACAAATGTTATAACTTCCGATCAATAAAATCCTTTTTGATGTAGAATGCGTTAATCTACCACTGATCATTAACCTTTACGTGAATGGAGCATCCGAAAGTAACTAACAGTGCTGATCTCAACTGTGATCAAATATCAGTGATATTTTTTGTAAAGTTCACACTAAAAACGTTGGATTTCATTTTCGATTGATGTGATTCATACACAGTGTTGAATATCATATCCTTTGAAAGCACATGCGTTAAATTAGCGATTCTTTCAACCGGTATGCCAACATGCCGACAATCACACGGCAAACTTATCAACGATATCGTTCCAAAATATCTACTGAACATAGAATTGATTCCCACAAACTCTATAAAACTAGTTTAACGATCAACTTTCAAATTACCTGATAAAATCCCTAAATATCATTAGACATCTACACGTATGGAACCGTAAATTACTGTTTCTGAATCAGAAGGCATCCATCAAGAAAATCTCGAATGACAATCAAAACAGTTAAATGCGTCAGGTGGTAGTTCTGTTAATTGCATTTGAGACGTAATTATTTGCTAGAGGGTTTTACAAGAAAGCATAAAATTTACGGAAGCAAACTGAAAACGATTAAATTTGTGCAGTTGCATAATACTGATTCGTATACCTCGCCGTAATAATCATACTGAACATTGGTGAATTGGCTGGTGTTGTTGGTGTATTTGGTGGAATTGCACCAACTAGGCGTGCTGTTGGACTGATTTGTGGAGTTTTATCGTCATAATTATAATCAAAGACAGCAGTGTTCGATGAGGCAGTTGGTGAAGATGAACAGAATCGATGAAGTGGCAATGGACGTTTTGATGAACGAGACGGTGTTGAGGATGCAGTCGCAGTCTCCTTACTCGTGGGGGGTGTACCATCATCGAGCAATGGTTGTGGCTCGATGAGTGATGAGACTGTCGTATCAGTGCTCGCAGGAGCCTTGGGAAGAGTACGAGAGTGGGGTGATAGTGGACAAGCCTTGATCAGCACAGATGAATGATGCGTAAGGAGTTTGAGATTGGAATCTAACTCCTCAACCGAAGCCATTCGTGAGAATCGGCCAGCGGTAAAACAACCAGTCGGTGAAGTATGAAGGACAACCATTCCAGACAGTTTTTTGGAACATCCGAATGATTTATTTACTGATGGATTTGAAATTCTTCGATTCAGAAGTTTATCCACGCAGCACGCTAATGAAGATGCAAATGGGATAGTGGCCGTTTTAGATTCACGATTGAAGTGATTCGATTGGATACGGCAGGATCAGTTTGGAATCGATTCGCGATAAGCTTCCGACATGTATCAACAACGGTTGTCACCTTCTAAACTAGACTGAACACTCAATTCATTCAACAAACATCAACTGAGAATGTTAGATCGGTTGGTGAGACAAGCTGATACCACAGTGATATTTCGTTATTTCTTCTGATGGAAACACCGGTCGCAAAAGATAATTCATGAAGAGCACTGTACTGAATACAGATAGGTAGTGAACGAGCAAAGTGTACGAATCTCAATGATAAATATACGCGTTTCTCATTCAAATCCACTTCATCTGAAAGTAGACATTCACGCCACTCATAAACTCAACAATCGAGCAAAATAAGTATCAAGAATTATGCTCGAAAAGAAAAATGGGAAGATAAAAATATTGATATAAATACATAATTATAAATATTTGACTGCTTGAAAGCAAGTATCAGAACTCACTTAGTCTATTTGTACCTAATAAAATGCGCCAAGACAGCAATACACAGCTAATAAAATTAATTACTCTATTTACCAGCCAAACGGAGCCAAAACATTTCAAGATAATCAGCGAAAACCGAATTGCTTATGTTAGATAAACAACAAAAATGAAAATGAAGTGTTGCGCAAACGCCGCATTCAGATGTCACGAAAATACGCGTCATACGTAGGCACTTCAATCACATTGCTGCTTCATGTAAAGTATAACTATCACTGTTGAGAAGGAACGCTTGTGAAAGCGATTTCCAGTTCAGAATTTAGCGTCTTTTCTGTATTCCATAATGAGAAAATATGATTGCATATGAAACTGTGGCGTCGCCGAAAAATATGTAAATAAAGCCCATTTATAGGAATGGAACACACAGTTGATAGATGCTCAGTTAAAGAATATGTATCAATGTAAAAATCAAAAAAAAAGAAAAATAACAAATTTTTGCACAATAAGTGAGAAATTTCTCGCACGATACGGTTACATCGAGAAATTTCTCGCACGATACGGTTACATCGAGAAATTTCTCGCATGATACGGTTACATCGAGAAATTTCTCGCAAAGTTATTGATCAAAAAGCACTGAATCATCGAGAAAGAGAAACATCTCCACTCTGATGCAAGCAGAACAATTTTAAAAAACTTGCTAAATAATGTTGCTCATCAACAAAAAACCATATTTGATTTAGCGAGCACCTGAAAGAGACGGACAGCAAACGATATGCGATAATATGTTCAATACGTTGATTATGAACAGTTATGATAAAACGGATTTGGTACAGCGACTAATGTTTTTCTTGAATAGCAAACAACATCTTTACTGATCGTCATTTGCGAGAAACTGCTATATCAGAAAAACAATCATCGAATTCGGTGAAATCCTACTGAAGTTTTCAGAGAGCAACTTTTCTTGCAACTGCAACATGCGGAAACCAAAGTTGAAAATATTACCAAAAAGCAGCAGCCGATCCCTTTCCATTTTCCTTATTTGATTTTTCTTAACATTCCCTACTTCCATTTTTCAACGAAGAATTTCTCTTTCAACAGTGTCCAAATGATTTGAGTACGACTTGTTTAAAAAAAGCAATTAAAAAATCCGACTCGCCTATCGAAGTGCTATCCACTTCAGAGGCAATTCTGAGAATGAACGGATCATCTATGTCTTCGAAAGAAATTCAATAAAATACCTCGACAACTGAGAAAAGAATTTTAAATAAGGACAGCTAATGGGAGTGATCAGCCATGTGCATATAAATAATTCGAATCCATACACCAGGGAAAGGGAATGTTTGAATTAAAATGTAAATCGCTTAATTCAATCGCATCTTCACTTATTCCCTGTGTACGTTAGAGCTCAGTTCGGTTGAAATCAGCTTACGTTCGAATATTCAAATAATCCTTAATTTCGTACCAATGGGAACATTTTTCTGCTTTGCGAAGCAAAAGAAATACCACATTTTGATGAAGCTAATAACTCTTTGATATGAAGTCCTCAACAAAAATGAATCACTTCAACATTAAACGCAAACTCCATTTCACTTGATGTGAATAATTCATCGTTCAACGCTAAGCATCACATGTGAGTACAACTGAACGCATATTCGTTGTACGTGGTTGATAGAGGCTTTTAGTGAGTCATAATGTGTGCTCTATAATGCAACTGCTTGAAAAATACATACTCATGTTGGTTATCGAAACTAATCAGTGCAGTATTGGTAAGAAATTGAACTTTAGTGAATGATGTTGATGTATATTTCTAATAAACAAAAAAAATGATCGGTTTAAAACCACGACACGTAGCAGAGTGAAACACATCGATGTATTTCATCGGATTTTGCGATATTGATTTGACAGAGAAGGAAGATGTAAAGATAGCTGATGAGTGAGTCCCATGAAGAGCACATTTTTGAGAACGGCCGTTGATATGCAAAACGCTATTCCGAAAAACGTTCGAAAACAACACTACTCTTTCTGAGAGTAGTCTGATGATGGCACTTCACAACCGAAATAAAATTCTATAAGATGCTAATGTAGCAAGCATTCAGAAGGCGGATTTGGTAGAAAACATAACAGAAATATGGGTAAATAAATAAAACAACAACAGTTGAGCTGATAATAACTCAATAAGTGCTTCACTGTTGTCTGTGTACAAACAAGAAGATATTCCACTGAAAAAGCCTCAAGTAGATATGACATCCTAAAAAATGAATTTCAAAGGGAGCGTGTACTGAATCAAAATAACAACATCAATTCAACTTCTGAGAACTTTACAAATCCAAACCCCACAGTTTCAGGAATACTTCAGCTGCTCTCTTCGTCGTTCATTGTATCACTGGGAAGTGTACCTTTGAATTGGCAAGCCGGGGAATGGAAAAGTAACGGGAGTACGGGCACGTTGTAGCAATGCGAATGAATGCTTTTAAAAATGAATTTGAAACTGTCAATGAGATAGATACATAAATGCACGCACAAACACACAAACAATCCACGCTGTTTCGAAACAATAACATAATTTGAATATTACAACAATATTTACCGGTTGCATAGCCCAATGAATATTCATTAAAATTGGTCACATTTGTTGAACAATACAATTTTATATTTGAATAATGCAATAACAAATTTTCAATTGCAATACACTAGTATGACGATAACAATCAGCACTGACTGAAAATGTATTCGGTACAAACAACTTATGCATGACGCAGTGAAGAAGACAACTCTTCACTCTGCTGAATATCTAAAAAAACGATAACTGGAAGTCTGAATGCATTATTACGTAAACATAAATTAGCAAGACGAAATGAGAGATATTGAATACGTAACTTAACAGGATTACTTGATCGATTACAGACTAGTGTTGGAAACCGACACATTCTTTTTCGGTGGTATCCGAGCAAATGTCCCGTCGAGGGCCATTAAAATCGGTGTTCATCGAAACGAAATATTTGGGCATCGGTTGGTTGTCGATCGGTGGTAACGAAATTTCAGTTTGCCGGGGCCCCCAACCGAACAAGCCCTTTCGGTTGCGGTCGAGGACCCATGATTTTCGGTCGGAAATTAGCGACTGAATTTTCGGGTGTCATTGCGGTTCGATGGCCACCGATTCAATTCTACAACAGGCTGCAAATGTATCCGAAAACAGCTTTTTTTTGATAATACTTTAGAATTCCATTAATTGCCGAAAACTCGGAATTCTGATCAGTATTCTTCATGAAAATTCTCGTTAATTCCGCTCAAAGAAAGACTGCAAATAAAGTTCAGCTACTTTCATATACTGAATCATTTTCGTTTGAATAAGCAGTTTGCCACTTTGAATAACTGAATGCTGTTGACATTTTAAGTATGCGTTTTGCACGTATGCTCCAACAGCACGCACATTCGCACATAACAGCGTAAGCAATTGAGCTAAATGTGACTCTGAAGCTCATTTCAGCGAAATGCAATGGAAGAATTAATGAGGTAATATTTTGGCTATGCATAAACTACTTCACTGAAATATCATTGTCGAAAACAAATAATATTAAACATGCAAAGTTCTTGCAATGAGCCATCTCATTGTCAGTTATGGGATACGGGCCATTGGCTATGAGATGTGATAACTAATATCCTTTGTTTCGTAAAAAAGAATAAAGTTTCGACCTAGTCGAGCTTTATCGCTGAATTCATCGCGAGCATTCGCTAAATGAATCGCTAACCAAAATTGCTGAACGCTAAAATGATGCACATTATGTAATTTATGCGCATCTGCAAATTGCCACAAAGAATTAATCAAATGAAGCTTTTAAGATGACTTTGAAATGAGCAATTTTGCACATCTAGTCTAAGTGGAAATGAATGAATCGATTCTATTATTGAGAAGCACCGCACCGCATACATGTAATTCGTTAAACTTCTTCATACTATCCCAACAGAGAAACAAAAGCAGGAAATTTGAATTTCCGGAGAGATTCAACCAAGTATTTGTTCAGAATTTGAAATTTCAAACGTTATTAGTAAATCAGCTGAAAATGAGAGGCAGAAATTAAATTTTGAAAACAAAATTATTCGAAATTTCAGAATCTGAAAAATGCAACGTCGATTTCTACTTTCAAATTGACCCGAAATTCGATCTAATTCGAAAATTTCGATGTGGCTTCCTTCATTCGAATAAGATATGCTGTTATATGAAGGAAGTTATTGAATTCGAATTGTGCTAAACAATGAGCAATAAAATGCACAAATATTTCAAACTGAGAACCAAAGTGTGCAATTTGCGAGGAAAAGAAGATCAGCAATAGAAAAACAGTCAAAGAATTGGCAACCAACA